CTTTAGTGATTGCGAAAACCCCTTTTGAACAATTGCTGGATGCAGCACTGTCCTGCGTACTTGGAAGATAATGGCGACCTTGAGCGGGAAGGGGGGTGCAACCTCATCCATGACAAAGGCGATGTTGGGTCAGTAAATTACAGTCATTCCCGACGCATAGCAGCGACCAGCGAGTAAAGGACCGTAGAGGTGAAGAAGGCCGTGGGTTCCAAAAAGAAGTGGCAAGGGTAATACACAGTATGTATACATAGCTTCTTTGGAAGGCGACTTCCGCCCCCATCGTGGTTTCACTTGCTGCGGCTGGTGCCCCAGCCACTACGGATGACACATTAGGAATAGAGACCCCCAGCGTTTTGGACCCAGCTCTTGGGAACGGTTTCCCCAGCGTTTCAGGTTGCCCAAAATTCGTCGCTTGGGGATTTCAAGCCCTGCTTCGTGTAGAGGGTAAAGGGGAACCCTAACCTCCAAACCACCAAATCCCCCCCTCCCCCCAATCAGGGGAAAGCTGATTGTTTCCGCGCAGTCGCCGCAAGCCGCAAACAACTGCAAAGGTATGCCCTGCGACATCACCTGCGCAAGTCTGGTGAGGGCCTGAGTTGCGGCTGAGTCTGTCCTTATGATTCCCTTTTTAGGGCGGGCTTAAACATCAATGGATTGGCCGTGTGTGAATAGTTCACTTTTGATGGGGCTGTTGAAGGAGAACAGGCTCAGCATTTATGCCGAACTATGGGAAAATACGTGGAACGTTCTAAGTCCTAGTGTTCTGAGCGCCTTTCTGATGGGTAGGGGCCCGTAGTCCCTCCTCTTAAACATGAAATTGAAGGGGGCCGACCCTTGGAATTTATGTGTTTGTTCCATTTTCCCTTTTGTGGGAACTGGAAGGGGTCTCCAGGCATGGCGGCTTAGGCATGTTTGCCCTGCATTCATGTGAAGGGCAGAACGGCACATTCTCCGGACGCTTTGCTTAAGAACAGTATGGATGTACATCGATTAGCATGACCAGTAGCGACAGGAACTTTGCGAGCCCATGTTACATGTTGTACAGCTTGTCCTTTCGCTACGACGGCCAGTCGAGCTGCAGGCATCATCAATCCTTCATCCTCATGCCAGCTGGTCGTGTTTTGCTCCCTTGTTATACCTTCCGTCATTCTGTTCCCGCACGCCAAAAAGAGCACATTCCCCAATGACACGACCGGACGAAGTCAATTTCGTTTACTACTAGGAATGCAATTCAACCCAGTCAGCTTGGAAAGTTTGCCGCCCATTTCTCAGGCGGAGATCAGCTGGTGAGGGAGGCCCTGGCAGCTGGCGCCATTTACGTGCCTTTGGCGTTTTGAGCGAACAGCTGTGGAAACCGTTTGACGTCTTGCGGAGTCAACGACCGGCCCCGCTCTGGGCTGCGCGCGGAGTCTGCTTGGTGATCAATCAAGTGTAACGGACCCACTTCACCATTTCATGGTTGACATCGGCCAAAAGTAAGAACGGTGATGAGTCACGTTCTTTTCCTCCCAGCCCCCTTGACACATCGACCGCAACTTGGACCCTTCCGAGGTTGGGGCAAGTGCTGGAAGTATTGTGGCAGGAAGAACTGTGCAGATGGCCTTCTGGAAGGATTGGGATGATCGCACGGCGGCAGCTTGGAAGAAGGTCAACACGAGTCGAGGGGATTCCAGGTCCCGGAAATTACGATTGGCAGGCTGCCATGTGCACCTGCCCATCTGACATTAGAGCTCAATTTGGCGGGAGTTGTTTGCATTTGCTTGAGCCCGCTTTGCAAAGGTTATGTTTGATCCAGATTGTTGGCTTGTTCACTTGTACTTCCAGAACCTGCCACTCAAAAGGCCCCAAAATGAGCCTCCGGGACCCATGGGTCACTGGGCAAGCAACAGCCTTGAGATGCATTTTCCTCAGCCCTTGCGACCAGACGTGGGGAAAATTTGTGAATCGTGGCTAGGGCCTCTTTTCATGTGATACTTGACTTGGTACCAAGAGTAAATGGAGAGTCGACAATGTGTAACGTTCTTGGGGAGTGTTTCACATGTTGTGAGCCCGAGGTTTGACACCCACTCGACATCAACAACCCCCGCAAGCTTTCTAGTTTTTGCATAAGGAGGCTCTTGCCGCTTGCCAATTGCACTAAACTCTTGGGGGGTCCTCTGAATTGTTTCCAAAGGCTAAGCTGCAGCATTTTTGGACCCGCTGCTGGCAAAACATATCCGCCCCTCCGGCAAATCAAAGTTCTTGGAGTAACTATCACCAACGAAAACTCTCGATGCAGTTTAGGCGACCTTTGCACGATCTTGAGCTGTATTTTCGACCTTGGCGTGCAGAACGCGTGTTTTTTTTTTTTTTTGGGGAGGGGGTTGCATGCGCATGGCCTCTCAGGATGGCACCATTGACGTGGATTGGAAGGACGTCCAGCGTGGCCGCTGTTGGCTGACCAAGCACTGGCTGCGCCATAAATCAGTTGTTCAACTTGTGGAGGTTGAGTCAAAGGCACGAAAACAAGGAACTTCTATTTGTATGGTCCAACCCTTCGATATGAAGCAACCCTCCAAAATTGTGGGGGGTTCCCTTGTGTTTTCTCTTCAAACCTTCGGAGATGGGAATCTGTCCTTCAGAATGGGGGACCCCCAAACTGGGTGGGCTTCTCCACTGTTTTCCTTTGACCCAGCCCAAAAAGCGTACTACGAGAAAGCACAGACCCATATGAAGAAGATGGCACCGGATGACCCAGGTTGCCACACTGTTCCATGCCGGCATGGGCTTTGTTTGGCATTCCTTTGGGCACCATAAAGAGGCTCCTAGATTGTAGGGTTTCTCCAGATTCTGGGGAACAGTGCGTGTGCCTGGTTTACTGCAGGCGTGCCCCCTGAAGGCACTTCCAAATACATGGAACAAGGCAACGCAACCCCAAGATTGGTTTGTTTCCTTTGGCCTACTTGTAAATTAAACACGGGTACCCAAAAAGCCGTCCCTCCTTAGGCGTTTCCCAACTATACCCTTAGACGTTTGCGTGTTTAGAGTCTAGAGGGTTTATGGCAAATCCCTCAGAGTTTTACGCGACGGTTTACGCCCGTCGCGTAGCTTCCGTAGACGGCCTGTGCCGCCAGCCCTTCGAAGCTCAAGCGACGTCCTTCGACCAGCCCCAGTTCGAAGCCATGACCACCAGCGGCGTGTGGTCTGCCGACAAAGCAGGCAAGGCAATTCGCTTGGGCCTGCGTCAGAAACCTGCGTCAGAAACTGGAGTGGAGGGCTTCCTCTTCTAGTAGGGGTGCACAGATTTGCACAGCGTGTTTGTTTTAGGAAAAGGTGTGCAGACGAACTAAAGTGTGTATTGACTTGCATGTAGTTCCTTGGCCCTTGGCAGAGTAAGATTGGCGCTGGAAGAAAAAACGGAAAAGGGGTTCCTCTAAGGCGAGACTCTGAAAGATGGGCGTTCTCCATGCTTTGGGTAGCGTTTCCTCTCAGGTCAACACGAACATAAACACCTGTTGGGACCACCCTGAACAAACCAACAACACTCTATCATGGTGGCAAAATCCACAAAACGCGCCAGAGCTGATTGAATATCTTTTTTTTTCCTCTCGGGGAGGGGGAGGACCAATTTGTCCCTTAAGCAAGCCATAGTCAGTGGTTTGGATTGGATTTGGATTTGTAGAGGATAAGTGAACAAGCCACCAATCCAAACCACCCCAAAAACGGGAAAGCCGAGTTTGGAGGTTCTTAAGCACCCCCGCCAAACCCCACTCAAGCCGACACGTCGGTCGAACAGGCTTTGAGATGAAGCGGAAGACCTCGTTCTCCTTGCTAGACGCCTCCGTCTCACGGCCCCACCCATCCGGCGATGGCAACAAGGCGGGCCATCGGCTCTGGTCCCAAAAGCAGGGTGGGAGCAGGAACCCGAAAAGGAGGGGTTACGCAACCCAACAAGTGGAGTGACCCAGGCTAAAGGGGGCACCGAACCCCTTTTTTCCGGTGATTGGTTGTAGGGTGCTTTGCATTTTCGTTTTGCTGCGTGTCCCAATCCACAAGGCACGTCGCCTACCTTGCAGTCAGAGCTTGGCAGAAGGCCCCGAAGCCATGCCACTGGATGTTTAAGTGCAAAGGTCATACTCAAAATGCAACGTAGCAGAACAAACTCTCATGCAATTCACCAAGACCCTCCAAATGAAAGGGGGTTATTAAGGTCCTTCTACCGCACAATTCCTGGGGGTCGGGCAGGGCCTTTATTTCCCTTAGAGAAGTAGTGCTTACTGTTTGGTTATCTACTTTCAGGGCTTCAAACATCTTCTTATCCCAGGTTTGTTGGGATCAAAAGCCTCATATTTAGGGTCCGACTCGATCTTTTCGGGTCCCGCATGCCGGTCGTTCTTGCAGGACCGCATGGAGATGCTGTGGAAGCTCATGGCACACTACGCGCCTGGACAAAAGTTGCTGGTGGGGAGGGAATCACAAGTTGCCAGGTGCTACTTAGCTGTGTCACACTGCTTCCTGGGCAATTCGGAATGTCAGAATGCGTTTCGTGTACAAGTTTGACTAAAGTGAAGCGTGCTAAATGGGCAGATGTCAATTTCCCAAAAGCAAGCCAAAAGGGGATGTTTTTGTTGTTTTGTCTTTTCCCGACCGCCACGAAGCAAAGCGGATGGTGGGCTGCGCCTGTTGGTTCTTTGGTTTGCTGAGTCAAATTGCAGTTTCCACCTCACTCGGATTTTCCATTTTTTGCAGGGACCGACTCTATTGAGCAGCCATTTGCATTTGTTTTTTCATGGTGTTTTGTTTTTTCCCCAGGGGTCCTTACGTGTTTTCATTTTGTTTCGTCTAACATCACCCTTTTGGCTGTGTGAACAGGTTCTTTTCTCCTTGAAAAGCCCGGATGCCCAACGGGTTTCGACGCGTGGGGAGCGAGTTATGAGGAGCCCAACGACCAAGAGTCCATCCAGAAGTCCTTCGCGCGGCACTTGGAGTACTCCTTGGCCTGCACCCGTTTCAACTTCACCATGCAGGCGCCGACTCGCCGGGTGATGCCGTGATGCGAGTGGACGCAACCCCACTCGCGCCATGAGGTTTTGGAGAATAGGAATTTGTCACTGGAGACAAATTCGGTTGATCCCCCGAAATGAGTGGAGCTTCAACTTTGAGTGTCCATTCAAACACTCACAGACCTCTACATCCCTTTCAGTCGTTTCAAGCATCTCCTTTTTCGCCCATGAAGGTGGCAGCTTTTGAACAGCGGTTTGCAAGAGCGTTTCCTTACATAGATGGTGCAATGCCTGGGTGGAATTATGGTCCCTGCTTTAGGCCTTTTCAACGTGGCAGATCACAGCCCGATGAATTGATCAACTTGGAAGTCTAATGATTTCTCGCTGGTTCTCAGGCAATCGAGGGAATGACCTCTATAAACCATACTTACAATATGGTTAAGGAAATCCCTGCTTTGTTCTCTAGAGATGCTTTGTTCATAGCTTGTAGGGAAATCCACTGCTTCATCCTCCAGAATGTGTTCACTTTCTGGGAATCCATCGGCCTTAAGGAAACCCACAGGTTTATGTCTGGGAAGTAGTTTGCCCCCCTATGAATCAGCCATATGGCTGTGGGTCACAAATATGTACCCAAAACGGAACCCCGGTAAATGGAAACAAGGACTCAAACCTGCAGTCCCCCTGGTGGTTTAATTTTGCACAACCAATGGTGCCATCTTGGGACAGGTGCACCGCCCATTTTGGAGCCTATTTTAGTGGGGATTGGGATGTTCACTGGGGGTACGATTAGGGTTTTGACCCATGGCCATCTTGTTTTTTTGTTTTTTTTTTGCAGGGGAGCCATCCGTCCTTCAGGACGCCTACCGTGCGGCCGGCTTGGCGCTGCGCGATCGGCTGTTGGAGTCCTTGAACGACACCAACGCCTACTACCGCCAGCACGACGTGAAAAGGCCATACCAAAAGGGAGCGTCCTGAAACCACCCGGACCTTCAACTTCTGTGAAATTTCTGGGCGTTTTAATTAGGAGACCCCTGCGATTTACCATGATTTACCAACTTCCAGTGGTGTAGCTACAATTGGAGGAAGGTCCAGGCAAGTGTTTGATGTCACTTTCATGGACTCCTACCTTACCGTTTTTTACCTTGTGGTTGAGCATGGTTTGCTTCCTTGCAACAATTAGGGCATCCGCAAGGGTCAGGCAATCCTGAATCCAACGGACTCAGTTGCTGAGAGCCTTGGGCTTTTTGGCACTTTTCCGGAAAACTCATGGAGTTGTTTTGCGTGTTTTAAGCTCATTTATTGCAGGGAAGGCCGGGGCAAGTTAATCACGACGTCACGGGATTTAGTTTGCGACTCATGTATCCTGTGATGAAGGTGCCTTCGTTGCGTGCCCATTTCGCAATTCAGTTGTCAGAAACAGTGCCTGGAGTTGGCCTAAGCTACGGAACGGCAATCCCGGCCTCAGCAGCCCTGATTTGGGCTGTTTTGCTTTCTTCGGGGTACTTATGTGGGGGAGTTGGGCAGAACGTCGCAGTTTTTCGCAAGTCAAAAATGCGCTTCCCTTCGGCGTGGTGATGCCAAGAAGAAAGTTAGTCTTACAGCCTGGCTCGGGCCATTGCAAGCTTGAGACGCGGACATGCGTCAGGGTGGTAGTACTAGAGTACTGTTGAACAGGGCTTCTCACATGCAATATCTTCTTGTTTTTGCTTCTTCCTGCCACACGTTGGGCTATGTTTGTGTTTTCGGTTGTGCGTCACGCTCGGCTCGCAGGGGCTACTACTTGTCGGCCGAGTACCTCATCGGCCGCCACATGCAGAATGCCATTGCCAACTTGGACTTGGAGAAGTCGTTCAAGGACCAGAACTGGATCCTACTGTGGACGAAATCCATTGGCACCACCTAAGAAACCATGGTTGACACCATTGTTGGTTGGCATTTACAGGGGAATCATCATTCCATGGTTTCCTTATGTGGTGCAGGATTTCGTCCATCCACAATTTGATACTATACAGTTGTGTCTTAAGATAGACCCTGAAAATGTGTGTTTCCTTTTGGTGCTCTTTAAGCCAGCCCCCAAAAGGTGGGTACCATTTTTCAGGTTGGTTCAAAGGGAAACCGAAAGGACAGCCATCAAGTTTTCTTTTCGCCTATTTTGACACTTAGCCACAGGAAAAGCGCCCCGGCTTTGTGAAATGCAGATTGCCCCACTTTGAGGAGATCAAACGCTTTTGGGGAGAGATCCTCCGCCTGTCAAGCTTGATCAATCCTGGGTCGACATCTCCCACCCTTTAGAACCAACCACAACGGGCGTCACTTGTTCCCTCAGCAAGTCCATCTGGTCTCCATGCCTGTCCTTGTGACAGGCCGAGCCGGGCCGTAGAGTCCAACAGGCTTCAGCCTAGCTCGAAGGCATTTTAAAGGGCACAGCGTTCGGAAGCGGATTGGTGCATGGACCATTTTGGCATCCGCAAACCGCTTGGATAGTTCGCATGCCCCCTGAAAACCACCCAACAAAACGTATCCCCTAGTGACCACCCAACAAAACGTTCTCGGCTTACGGTTTCGTGGGCGGAGGCTTGATCTCGGCGTGATCAGGACGCTTTCCTCGACCTGGGCATCCAGCTGGAGGCAGATCGAGTCCGAAGTTGGGGCACTGCACATTTCGAAGATGATCCTTTATCCCCTCGAATCCCCTCAAAACCTATCGCTCCACAAGGGCCCTCAAAGCACATCAAGCCACAAGGGAAGTCCCTCAACATGGGTGACGGGGGGAAATCTCACCTGGCCAGGCCTAATGCGGGACAATGGTCCATGGGGCCCTCTAGTTGGGCTGTATGACACCGTGGGGTGTGAACACATGACACCTGGTCCAGTTTTGTTTTACTGGGAGGGGACATGTTGATGACTGGTTAGGACATGAGGGTTGACTCTCCACTGCTGCGCCTCAGCCATTCCCCGAACCGGAATACGTGTCTGAGACGTGCCCCAGCCATATGCAATTTCTTCAAGCTGTGGGACCTAACGTGCATCGAGATTCATTTGTAGGTTTGGTATCAAATATGCGGGCGCAGTATGGGATATACAACGGGCGTGGAGTGTGTGTATCTATTTTATTATATGTATTTATAATTATGTATACATACAAATGTATAATTACACACTTATTATATGTGCGGCTCGTACCATCCTGTGCGTGGACGAACTCCGTTCGCACCTTCTTTCCAACTCCGTGGTCCAAACCAACATGGCGAGTCGGATCATTCCGTTGGACTTCGCTGCCATCCACCGGCTCTTGGTGCGGTTTTCTCACCGGGTCGCCGCCGCTCGCCGCGCCTTTTCCGCTGAGGAGCTCTTCGGGCAAGAGGCGGACCCGGCGCTGGGCAACGGGGGCCTGGGGCGCTTGGCCGCCTGCTTCCTGGACTCCATGGCGACCCTGCCGCCTGAAGGCACTGGACCGCTTGGCCGCTTCGGGCTGGACCAAACAAAAGGGGAAAATCCGGACTGGGGCGGGGGAGCCTCCCCGTAGATTTGAAACGCCCCTGGTTGTGAGCGTGTCCTGGTGTTTTTCTCTTTTTTAACGTCACCCGTGGTTTGACGGTTGATTTTTTATTTTCGTTTTCCCTTTTGGTGGGGTGATGTTTTAAGGGGGGGGTATAGGGAACTTGGTTCAACCCCGTACTGAGAAAGCAGTAGGCTACAGTCATGGCCTATGATTCCGCCTATTAGGTGAGCCTTGGAGTCAACGAGCTCTCTATGACGTAGCTTCCTGAATTCTGGAGCCAACTCCTCCAGGTTTCGGACGTATTGCACGTAGGACCCCTCCCCTGCCCCCGCCAGCCCCGATTCTTTGGTGGGAAGCCACCAAACGAAACGGGAGAACTGCCGCTGAACAGGCGAGATTGCTAGACTTACATAGGCTCCTTAACACACCCCAGTCCCTCTTTGCTCAAAACAAGACCTTAGCTCACCTTCCCTCAGTTGTGGATCGGCGGTTTGGAGGTCGCTGTAGGGTGTGTTTTCCCATCCGCCTTCAACAAGAACCAGGCAGCACTAATCCAAGCAACCAATTAAGTGCTAGCTGATGAATTTGCCGGCAAAAGCCAACGCCTTGCTTGGCAGAAACCGGGTGGAAGGGATTTGGGGACGGGGTAAGTGAGGGGCAGGGGCTTGAGAATCGTGCCTTGTGGCGACGGCAGGGAAAACAGATCGATTGAAGCAGTCGAAACCTGCTTCAGTTGCTCAAAGGCTGCCTTTTCACCGTTTGATATCCGTGTTTTGGTTTGATTTCAGTCATTGCCTGCGGATGAGGTAGGCAGTGAACATTCCGGGACCTTTAAGCAAGATCAATATTCATTGTTGCATGCTGGCTTATGGCACGAGCGTTTGCTCTTTGGGCAGTTGGGCAGGGTGTCCTTATCACTGGCTGTCAGCCCAGGTCACTGCCATGCTGGGGCTATGGCATCCGCTATAGCTATGGCATGTTCAAGCAACACATCGAGCGCCCTGGATCAAAACTAAACCTCCTTCGAGGTTTCCTCAAATGGTGCAGCATGTTTCTTTTTTGCACAGCAGGGGGGCAAGGACCCCGGGAGAACGTACCGTGGCTTACCATGATTTTGAGGTTGGATGTTAGTTGTTTCACCTGCAAGCTTTACCGGGCTCCGGGGCTCCAGGTCGAGGAAGGGTGTGCGCACTGTCACATAGTTGGGATGCTTTGCTGATTTGGTCCCTTCGGGTCTGAATTAGATGTTTGTGGTATTTCAGGCAGGTACCAGCGAGGTTTTCACCTTGGCTCCGATTCCGTTGGCTGAGGAATGGTCGGCAAGTGGAGCAGCCAGACTTCTGGATTGGTGAGGGCCTCAGAGGGGCCGGATGAACCCGGATTTCAAATATGTTACAAGTTACAACCAGGGTTGCACAAGGGACAGCAGAGATTGGCTGACATAGACTGGTTGAAACCTACCTAGGAACCTAAGTAGGTGAACATCTGCGCAAATGCCCTTTACAACCATATGTTCAAATACACCCGGGTGTATGCACTCCCTTCCCGTTTTGATGGGTTTCCGGCCAAACATGGTGTGTCTTTTTCTACCAGGGTCACTGGGCTGATGGGGACGCCCCCCAGCGGACTGAGGAGACGGATGCCCATTCGAGATCCCCCGGCCGGATGTGGCGTACCCCGTGCGCTTCTATGGAACAGTGGAGGAGGTGGAAGTGAACGGCAGGAAGATCGGCAGGTGGGGGGTAAGAGATGGTACCGCAAGGGACAAGATTGCAACACTAGCAAGAACTCGAATGCACAAAGGCTTCCAAAACCAATGCTGGTAGCTCCTTTTTTGGTTTTGAAGCCGTTGAACCCAACAGAAAGTTGTATCACTCAAACATCTTCCTCTTGAAAAGTTGGTTTGTATAAGGGTGCCACCCTTTTTGGATTACAAGGACAACTGCAAGGACCCCCGTCCATACCCCGAGCCTGCAACTGCCATGGCGATGAGCCGACGAGCCGAGCTCCCCGACAGGTGGGTGGGTGGCGAGATTGTGCAAGCGGTGGCCTACGACAATCCCATCCCCGGATTCGCAACTCGACGTAGGACAAAGCCGCTTGAAACCGCCCGTTTCACAACACGAGCGGCGCCTAAATACGGGGGCTAGAGAACTCATGTGTTGATTTCTGTTGGGAAGTGGCAGGGGGATCCCCCAGCTCACCGTCAAGAAAACTCGTTTCAAGAGGGTGGCACAAGCTCTGTGCCAAATTCTGGCAGAGTGAAGGAGCCTGGATGAGTACTTGTGGTCCACGCCCACGCCGCGAGCAGGTCGCAAGTAGCTGTTCTCTTATGTGGCTGTCGATGAGGTGAATACACTTGCAATCTCACCATAGGCGTCCTTGTTTAGTTTGATTTATACTAGCTGGCACTGGCTTAGATGGGTTTTATGCAAAAAAAACAACAACAACCACCTCTTGAAAAAACAAAGCACATATGCCAAGCACTTGGACCCTTGAAATCCAAGCCCTCGGTTCGAACTCGTGACCTCGCTGCCGGCTTGAAACCGAACGGAATGAATGCGATGGGCTGAGGACACCTTCAACACCAACAACCTCCGCTTGTGGCGAGCCTGCCCCTCCAAGGAGCTAAAAACGGAACGAAAGGCGAGGGAGTTGAAGTTGTGCCGCCAAGGAGCTGACCTTTGGACCCTTTTTTGTCTCCATTTTTTTAAAGTTTTTGTTTTTCTGTGTGTGTGGGGGGGGTTCTTCTTGTTTTTTCTTCTTTATTGTTTGTGGTCCGAGAAACCACCCAGTTGCAACCAGTGCTGCCAATTGTTGTTTTCTTTTTTTAGCTTGTTTGTTGGAAGGGTTCCGATTCCTTTAACGTCAACTAACCGAAGAAGGATGCCTTTTTTCGCGACTCTACTCCACCCCCGCAAAAAAGACCAGCTGCTGTTAAGGGGAGTTGGGTAGAAATTGATGCGGTACTGACCTCTAGATGTTTTCCAAAGGGCCGCCAGGCCTCCAGTACCTCATTGTGCCTGGCAAGGTCAAAGCCGGCGAGGTGAGTGGTCCCTGAGAACACCCATATCGTCACCCCGTCTACTGAATGCTTTGTTCGCTGACTGTCTTTGCGGTGTTGGGGCTATGCCAGTTGCCGGGAAAGAGCCCTTGAAAAGTATGAAATCAATATGGAACCTGTTGAAAAGGTAGAGACAACTTCCCAGGCAAATGAGAGAGAGGGAGAGAGCAAGGATGTCCAATGAAAGAATTAACGTTCATTTCCAAAAAGTCAAGGGTACCCCCCAAAGCACATCCCCCCCAAGCACATCCGCTTGGGAAAGACTAAACTTGAACTGTGGATGAGCTTCAGGATGTCCAATTAAAGTTCATGCCCCTGGGTGCCAGCCTGAGGGTGCTGTGCGGTGTTGGTGTTCTGCCTTGAAAATGGAGCTCCATGCTGCTCCACGTGCATGACAGGGTTTGGATGAGTTTCGAGTTGTCACACCCCCTGAAGGGGACCCCCCCCCCCCCAAACACCCTAACACCCCCCCAAGCACATCCCCTTAAAAATAAATAAATAACAAAACAATCTTTTTGGAGGCCAGTTTTCTTGCGACAGGAGTTCGACCTGGACCACTTCTCGGGGGGCTACTTCTCCGGGGCCATCGAGGCCAGGCGCAAGGCGGAGGACTTGTCGGCGGTGCTCTACCCCAATGCCCCCCAGCCCAAGGGGGAGGGGGGGCCAAGTTGGTTTTTGATTGTTTGTCTCTGTTGGTTGTCTTGGTTTGTTTTTGTTTGGTTTGGCTTGGCTTGATTGGTTGTTGGTTTGTTTCTGCGCCACGTTTGCGTGATATTGGGGTTTGCTGTGCTCGGCGCAATCAGCTTTCTGTTGTTTGGGCAGAAAGTGCAGGTACAAGTAGTACATTCGTGTGGGTGGCTGTGCCATGTTTCCACGTCATCTCGCCGGGAACCAGACACGTGCCAGAGATCGATCTGGATTCCCGGGAACCAACACGGTGGCTCGGAGCTTAAGTAAGCGGATCTGGGAATATGTACCAGGGTCGTAATACCCCTGCACCGTAGGTGAGTAGGGATGTTTGTTAGACAAATCAGGTTCCTGCACCATGCAGGAGACAAGGGGGAGAGGGCTGGTGGGCATAGCCCCAAGGCTGGCTTTGGCCTCGAGCCTGTTGCGGCTGCTGGCCAGGGGGGAGCCCTGAAATAGCAGATCTAGCAGCATGTCATGATTAGTTAAACTGATCTGTTGATCTGTTTAGCAAACGTGTATGATTTGTGTTTGTCTTTTTGTTCTTGTTAGCACATGCCCAGCCAGTCCGGACTGTTTTTGGTTGGACCGTTCAAGAGATCAGCAAAGACAGCTCCGAAGTGTCATTTGTCTTTGCCCAACCCTTTTGGCAACAACTCGCAAAGTGAGTCTTAAGTAAGTGGCTTCCTTCAGCGTTTCCAGCCCAAATAGGCTCCAAGAAGTTGGAGTCATCTCAGCTGGGCCAACGGCGCAAGACGCCAAGGACGCCACCTACGAAGGCAAAGAGCTGAGGCTGCGGCAGCAGTACTTCTTCGTGAGCGCGTCCATGCAGGAGTCTGCGGATCCGGTGGCTCCCCTTTCCACTTGCTGAGATGAGTCTTGTGTATGTTTTGTTGGTCTTGAAGACTGGCTCATTTTCCCGGGGGGGGAGGGGTAAGCAAATTGAAGTTTGTAAGCCCAAAAGCTTCCGTTTTACTAGGGCCACCCTACCTGGCCACATGCAGTATGTGATTTCTCGCCTGTGGTAAGGCCTAAGCTTGTCGCCATGGACCTATCAGTCAATGGCTTTGGGTCGCTTCCCGTCCGGTTTCTCGCTGGGCTTTGGGAGCTTTGGGGAAATCGTTGCTCCAAGGGCTCCCGGCTTCGTGGGGGGAGTGCACGCATCCGGGAAGATTTTAAACCTCAGAGTCATGCTGAGTTGTTGTTTTTACTTCAGGGCCTCCCTGGAGGGAGGGGATTTTCCTGAGAGTCCGGCTCAGAAGATACTCCGTACTGAAACGCTATGTTCCTCCCCAAAAAGAAGACCTGCTCATGTGGTTGTCTACTTGGTTTCCCGTCAAAACCAGCCAAAAAGGGGTCAGGGTGTCCCAAATTTCCCGGTAGGATCTGTTGCGCGAGTTCATCAAGCGCCCCAACTACAAGTGGGATGAGCTGCCGGAGAAGGATGGGCGGCGACGGCGCATGTAGCGTGTTGGTGACCCATTTAGTTTTCCCTGAAATCCGTCCAAAAAGGGACCCCCACAGATACAGATGGGGCCTTAAGCAGGTCTAAATGGGTGTGTTTTTTATTTCTTTGGAAAACCGCTGGTCCCCCCAAAAAAAGCACCAAAATTGCATTTCTTCCCCGAACAATTGGTGTCGATGGTGTACCGATTCGCCACTAGAAACTTGGCCACGAGGCACTCCCCGGTATAAATGAGAAAACATCAGGTCAGCCCTGCTTGATTTGGACGGCCCTTGCCGCGTTGAGCCGGGTGGGTTGCACCGCAAGCATTTGAAAGCCCACGAACCACCGGCTCAGCAAAGGGCTTGGACGATCTGGTTCCTTGCGTCCCAACGCAGGTGGCGGTGCAAATGAACGACACCCATCCCACCATCGCGGTGGCTGAGATGATGCGACTGTTGGCGCCTTGGCACGGCGCAGGTGAGCCAAGCATCCTAAGGCCTAAGCCCTAAGCCCTTTGGGGGTTTGCCAGTAGAACATTTGACTGCTTTGGAATCGGGGTGCGCCCCGAAACAACCTTCAACCTCCATAATTGCATTTTGCATTGAGCTATTTCGCCCCCAGCGTGCTTCTCTTCTCCATTCGGCAAGTAGGCAGCCCCATGCGTTGAGTGGAGCTGATTGACTTGCCCTCAGAATGCGCCTCTCCCACATAGGCCAAAGTATGCCAAGCATAGGTGTCCTTCTTGAAATTCTTGGTTGTGTTGGTTGAAAAATGGATGGCGATTCCTGGTTTACCTGGTGGTTTAATCATCTAATCATCTACCAGGGCCATCTATTTCCCCTAAAAGGGCACCTATGAAGCCACGTGTTCTTCTTTTCGTTTTGGCACAAAGCCCAGCGGAGCAGATTCGAGCCCCAAGCCGGCGCAGCCGCTCTCAACAGCGAAACTTAGGTGGACGTGCAGCAGTTGGAGTGGCACTACGCCTGGGAGCTCACAAGGCGAAGCTGTTGCAACGCTTCCTTTTGAAAAGCGGAGGCTTCTGAGTGAACCTGGAACACGAACAGGGGGTGGCCCAAAATGAGATTCTTCTACAGACCTTTGTTTTTGTTGGTGCCATATTTAGTTGCAGGAGTCTGCAGGAGTTAACTCTTTAGTGGATTCTGGGGGTACAGGGACCATCCCGGGTATCATTCTTAGGGCTTCTAGGTGGCACATGCCGTGTGATGTATGCAAAGTAGGACCATGGAGTTGTAACAGAAGTGTGCTAGTCCTCCATATCTTCCTGACACTTGGAGAACTCAGTGGGCCAACGTGGTCAACTTTCCCAAGCCAACATTCGGCAAAGACATCGTTGCGATCCAAAGCAAGCTGGGGCACTTGCATGGATTTCATCTGTGTCACACATGTTCGAATCCAAACTCTGCAATGGAAGCCCTTTAGTCGGCGAGTTGTGTGTATTGTCCACTTTAAACTTTAAACATGCCCTCGAAAAGCTGGCCCAAAAGGTGATTGAAATCACCCTAGAGGCAAGTGCTTACCACTTGACCCCTTTTGCGGATGGCTGAAGCAACCGTGCTTCGCTCTTTCAAGGTTGCTACTCTGCGATGGTCCCTGGAAATTCAACCACAGAAACGGCGAGAAAAGGTATGGCTCTGCTCTTGCCACTATGTTGACTGGCTGGCTTCGATAGCCACCGCAAGGAGGCTATTGCATGCTACCCATCCCAGTTGCCCAGTGGTTGTTTCCTTTTTTTGGGCAGGGTTCCCCTTTAAAGTCAACCAACCAAAGAAGGATGTCGATTCTTTTCTCCCCATGGAAATCCACTGGGCATCTGAGCAATGATTCTCAGAAATTTAGCTTTTGTTTAGAAAGGACTACCTGAGGTCAAAGTGTCTCGCAATCCTGGAATGCGGCATGCCCCAATTTTTGCCCCCATCACGATTTCAGGGCATTTCAGGCGACGGCGCTGGCGTAATGTTGACCCAACATCAACGTAAGCGGAGGCTAACTTTTGATCCGGGAAACACACACACACACACCAATGGAAACCCGGATCAATGAACCCCAACCCTGTTTGTTGATAGGGGGTGTCCTTGGCGTGAGAAATCATTACTTTTGAAGGGCTCCCACCCCCCTTTAACAGGATGGGTTTTGCTTAGATCCGTCAACATGAGTCCGGGCCAACAGGGGCAAGGCGGCAAGGCCCAGCGAGAAAGTTGCCAGGAAGTGCTTGAACTACACCAACCACACCGTCATGCCGGAGGCGCGGAGGTAGCCCTGCAACTCGGATTGCTCGCTCCACTCGTTTTCACAAACCTCAAAGCTCGTCTCTTTCAAGTCTTGCTGGCTCGTGAAGCTTGGCATGCGGATGACGTCATTTGTTTGCCCATTTTTTTTGGTGTTTGTGTGTGTCTGTGGGAGTGTTCTCTCCCCCCCCCCCCCGAAAGCTGGGGCCAGTGCTAGCCATTTGGATCCTTGCGGCCATTGACAGGCCAGGCAAGAACAGCGGCAAGCAGAGGTTTCCAAGGAGTTTTGTTGTCACCTCGCTGGGGAAACGCGGGCTCGTAAAAGACGGCTCCTTGACTCGCGACATGGTTAAGCAATTTCTTTGCTTAAACTCAAAAATTGCCCAGTGGCTTTCGCCATGAAAGTGCATGTGTGCTTGGAGAGTGGGAAGAGCTGCTGTGTCGCGCTGTCACCGGACTCGAGTGTCGTGGGCGTGTAAGATGGGGGCACCATTGATGCCATCGTGCAGCAGCCCGTGAGGCTGGCTTCCACATTTGCAGCTGTTGCAATTTATGCTCCAGCGTTTGGCAGTGACAGCAGCCAGCTTCAAGAGCAGTTGGTGCGTGTCCAGCAGATCCAGGCAACTGGCAAAGCTGTTGCTGCCATCCTGGACGACGGTTCTGTTGTCACTTGGGGCGATATAGGCGCTGGCGGTGACAGCCAGGTTCAAGAGCAGCTAGTGCAGGTCCAGCAACTGAAGTCCACCGCCAGTGCTTTTGCTGCCGTCCTGGAGGACGGCACTGTGGTGACCTGGGGCGATTCTGACTTTGGCGGTGACAGCAGCCACGTGCAAGAGCACAAGGGCTCTGTGGTCGCTTGGGGCAATCCTGATTGGGGCGGTGACAGCGGCCAGGTGCAAGAGCAGCTGGTGGGGGTCCAGCAGATCCAATCAACCGATGATGCTTCAGTTGGTGCGCGTCCAGCAAATCCAGGCAACTGGATCTGCTTTTGCTGCCATCCTAAATGACGGTTCTGTGGTAGCCTGGGGCAGGGAGAATTGCTGGGCGACAGCAGCCAGGTGCGAGCTGGTGCGCGTCCAGCAGATCCAAGCAACTAAATCTGCTTTTGCTGCCATCCTGGAAGATGGCTTTGTGGTGACTTGGGGCAATCCAGACGCTGGCGATGACAGCAGAAGGGTGCGAGAGCAGCCGGTGCATGTCCGTGAAATCCAAGCAGCTTATTTTGCTTTTGCTGCCATCCTGCATGACGGCTCTGTGGTGACGTGAGGCGATCCAGAGCTGGGTGGCGACAGTGGCCAGGTACAAGAGCAGTTGGTACGCGCCCAGCAGATCCAGGCAACTCGCAGTGCCTTTGCAGCCATCCTTGACGACGGCTCGGTGGTGCTTTGGGGCGATTGTCGTGCTTGCCATGAAGCCAGATCCATACTTCTGTTGTGATGCCAATTGCCTGGTATGCAAAAGGGTTGACTTTGCAAGTGACAAACTAGGACAAAAACGTCAATAGCCTAGGTTGCATCACCTGCAGTATTGGGGGCCCGGCCAACCGTCTTTGTCATTGCCAGAAAGCACGGTTTTTGGGCCGTCTTAAAGAAGTTCCGCGGCTTAAACTTGTGTTGTGTTCAGGGCCGGGCCTCCAGAGCCTTAAGATTTCCACCCCTGAGCCACCCCAGAAAGAAGCGGGGTATATGAAACAAGTGCTCTATCCCACTAAACCTCTAGGGGTAGTGGTTTGGGGGGATCAAAAAGGGGCCAAACGATGTCTCGCCTTATGTGATCATGACTGAATTTGGCTTCAAGTACCCCACGGCTGCAACTTGCTTCTTTTGGCCTCAAACAACCATCTTCGCCATCCTCCCACCCGTGTTGCCATGGAACCTGACGGACAGGCAAGAAACCGGGTGTCCTGGTTGCGACCACTTTCCTAGTAAAAGGGTAGGGCCACTTTGCTAGATCTCCTTTCCAGGACCTGTGCTTTCCCAACCCCCGCCACCCGGGCAATCAAGACAGAACGCCAGCACGAGGACTCTTTATGCCACAGCCTCATGCCAACAAATGCCGAGTGTAAATCCAAGAAATAGGAGAGGGCAGTGGGCAGGCCAACAAACTCGGCGGAATATGCGTGGGGGCACCCCCTAGCCGTCTAGCCGTGGTGAGACGGCAGTACTCACACCCCTTCCATTCCTCCCTTGCCGTAGCTATCGACGAGAGAGGCCCTCGAGAAGTGGCCCGTGGAGATGATGGAGCGCTTGCTGCCGCGGCACGTGCAAATCATCGGGGGCATCAACTGGCACTGGATCCAAGGCCTCCTACAGAAGCGCCTTCCCATGCATCCAAAGCCACCCTCGCAAGCGCGGGAGGGGGGGGGGTCTCAAGAAGGCGGAGCCCGTTTTGGATGGACGGTTTTTTGAAAGGCGCGAAGGCAGGAAACGGCAATTTTTATGGGTCCTCTTGAAGATAGAATTGGGGGAAGGTTCACTAAATGCCGACCGTGTCCCAACAGATTATGAGGCATTGTTGTGTGAACCATATGTTTCCTTTTTGGCTCACTTGCATGCAAGGTACGGAGACTCGCCCATCATCGCGCAGTTGAGCATCTTTGAGGAGAACATGTGCAAACTTGGCTGGACTATCAAGTCGACATGTATAAAACGGCTCCCAGATGTTGTCGATTTTTTAGTCTTGCGCAAAATGGTCGGCCTGGGGGTCCCACAAGAGCTGATGCTTCAACATGCATATCTGGTGCAGCTAGCCCAATCCTACGTATGTTGCTTGAACGCCAGCCTCAACTAAGCTTCGACACGACAGATAGTTCATGCCGCTCAGGCCCATGTAATTCCACAAGTTAAATCACAAGGGGCCAACGTGAGAAACTGATTTCCTAAGTTTTTTCTCTGCGAAGGATGGCAAAGAAATCATCCTGCACTGAATCTTTTAGGTCCCTTGTTTTCACGTTGTGATTTCCTCGAGAGCAACCAGCCCACCCAACCCAAACCTACCAAACCCAACCCACCCCCCCCCTCCTTGCAACCAGGCAACATGAACTTACCCTGGCTCAAGAAGGACCGACTCCCTTCCACCGAGCTCGCCGTGGCGGCTTTGGCTTCCCGGCTGGCCCCTTTTTTGCTCGCGACAGGAGGGGGAGATCAAGAAGATCCGGATGGGGCACCTGGCGATCGTGGGCTCCAACAAGATCAACGGCGTGGCGGCCATCCACACGGAGATCATCAAGAAGGAGACCGGTCGTTACCAGTCTCCACCCCAACCCAACCCAACCCCCCCCCCCCCCTCCCGGGTGACCCAGGGGTTACCAACCGGGCGCAACATGTATTTTGGTTTGGCCGCCCAATGTTTAGCTTGGTTCCCCAGCAGCCAAAAGCTGAAGAGGGGGGGAGCTAACGAGGCTTAGCAAGGGAATGCCCGCAGTGCAAGTAGCATTTCCTTTTCTGGGTGGAGATTCCTTGTTAAGAGGGTTTTGACCCCTCCGGCCCCCCCCACAGATCTCCACACCCATACTATCCCTTCAAGGGAAAATGATAATGAACCTTCTATGGTGTGTCCATCTAATACAGTGGTTGTGTACTCAATCTGAGCCACAATCAAAACCCGGGTAGATGAAGGTTAGTATGGGACAATCCCAACCGCAAATGGCTGCGAATATCCGCCTTCTTAATTCTTGAAGCATGGCTCTGGGTAGACCATTTGCGGAAACGAGTATGGCATATTTTCCCTGGTTGGTTTTAAAGGGAATCCATCACCCCTGGAAACATAGACGATTTGCTCGAATCAAAGCCTTGGCAGCTTGGCCTTGAGGCCTCGGGTGCGTTTGCCGCAGGAGACCTTCCCCGAGTTCTACAAGTGGTGCTGCGACAGCGGGGAGCCGGACAAGATCGCGCCTCCGAGTTGACAGCCTTTGCATATCCAAACCCTGGGTTGAGAGCAGGGGGCTTCAATTGTATGATATGGGACCTTTGTGGCATGATTTTGCATTTTGAGGCTGGCTAGTCATAAAGATGTCATCCGGCAACTGAATTACCTGCCGCGTTTTGGCCACGCCAACAACACCCTGCGTTTGGACCAATGCTCAGTGTGCTCTCCGGGACCGAAGTGAAGGGTTCTGAATCTGTGGCATGCCTTTGAACTGTCTTCAGATTCGGGGGGAGGATTGAGCGGCATGTCCATTTCTGAAGGGTCGACCCCTCAAAGCCTCCTTTCAGGGCACTCCGGAAACGGGGTTCCAGGGATGATTTTTCTTGCTTTCCATGCGAGGTGAACATGGCCATGTTTTCTGTTCCCCCTTGCAAGGGAAACCAACAGTCCACAGGCTTCCTTATATTGCTCCTTTTGTGTGGGGGTTCAGACATTGCATGTTTGGCCAATTTGAGATGTGCAATGTAACCCGCTCACATGCAATTTGAATGCCCTGGAAGACCATGATCCTCTTAAAAACACCTCCGTTCAAAGCTATGTTGCATGTGAGGTAGACAAAGTATGGAACAGATCCAGAAATATTCTTTGCTGTTAGCCACGGTGGGCCAAGGTTGGTGGGATGGTACTGTAGATTATTGTAGGGTTACCCTAGCTTAGCTTTTTGGATCGTGGTTAGGGTTTGAACCTGTGGTTCTTGTAGAGAAAATGCGCAACCACTCCCCCAACCTCAACGCCACCAATCCAAGCCAATGGGAAGCTGAAGGTTGTGTGGGGGTAGTCCCTGAGGTGAACATGACTAACGGGGTGACCCCTCGCCGCTGGATCCACTGCGCGAATCCTGCGCTCAGCGCGATCTTCACCAAGTACTTGGGCCACTTGGCGGGGGCCGAAGGCTCTAGGCTCCGAAGGTTCTGGGGCCCCGAAAGGAACGCATTTCTTTTTTGCGCAGATCAACGGGAAGCGAAAAGGAAGCTGCTTCTTTTTTTTTGGAGGGGGAAGCCTGCTATGCTGACACACGCCCCCATACCCTATGTGGAGCTTATCATAAAACTGCCCCTACCACCTACCACATACGCACACACACACACACACCCAAACGCACCGATCTGGGTGCGTTTGGGTGGCTGGTGTGTTGAACCATCCCAATAGACATGCAAAGGAAATAATAGGTTGTTTTTCCGAAAGCGCGGAAAGAAAGGGCACTCTTCCGCGAAGAGCAAGGTTCGCTTGGCTTTGCAGGAATTGACAAAAGGTCTCCATGAGAATAGTGGGAGCACCATTCCCACACTGCCGACAACTTTTATGTTTTAACAAACCCGTCACAGGACACAAGCTCGCAACTGGGGAACGCTGACATGCCGCAGCCCGCACTTCCCACACCTCAAACAAAGCCGCTGCTAACCTTCAGCAGCAATGTCCACTGATGTTTGGGCTCAAGGTTGGTGACCTTGCCGAAAAATCGAGTTCTTTGAATCTTTACATGGCAACCCTATCGGGGTTTGCTCCTGCGTCTCCGAGAACTGCGGGCATCGTCAGATTGAGTACCATTGACCGATAGGGCCGATAAGGAGAGATTAACATGTTCTTGCCCAGTCGACTAGTTGGTGTGGGTACTTGCATGAATGGAGGCATCCTTTGATTGCAAGGTGGATACCCATCGGACATTTGGTGCAATAGCGATGCCTTGGCGAAGGTCGGTTGGAGTCCAGCCGATGCTATGGAAGGTGTCCTCATTTGATGGCATTCTTTGGGCTTTCTGTGATAGCCTTGTTGGGGGATCCCTGAGTGACAATCTCGCCATGGATAGGACTTGCTCGCCACCTTGGCTTTACAGACGGGTGGGCATCAACAAACACAGTCAACATGCCTGACTTTGCTTCTTATTTTTTCCACCTCAAGCAACTCGCCCACCTTTTGCAGGTCCAATGGCGCAGCAGTCATTTCCACATGCGTCCGAGGATCCCAAAGCTGGCTCACTGACATGACCTTGCTCAAGGTCGCGCGTTTCTCGACGGGTGGTGTTTCCCCTTCCCCCCCTCCCCCCTCAACGTGCACGTTGGTGGACGGGTTTGGGAGGAGGGGGGGTGCAAGAGTTGTTGCCCTCGTGTTGGTTGCACGTGGCCATTTAAAAACACGTCTCCTTTGCCGGATGCTGTTCCAATAGGAAGCCAGCATGTTGTGTGGTATCCTCTTGTCAGACGACCCACCGCAACTTATCCTGGGAGCCAAACAGGAGGGCTCCACAAGGAGGTTGCTCCAAACATGATGTCATTTTGGGTTCCATGTAAACCTGCAGGGGAGTATCGCGGCTCAGCTTTGGTCTGAACGATTTGGGCAGTCCGGAAGACACTTGAGAGCTCACCCAGGTTTGGCAAAGTTGGCTTGAAGTTGTTGATTGGTTACTTGGGTGTGTCCTTTTTTGAAGACACGCTTTTGTTTGGTGGGTTCAAAGGGAAACCAACAGGCAAAGAAAACAACGTGGTCGTTTTTCGTTTTTTGTTTTTGGGGGGGTCCCCAAAAAAAGACACCCTGCAGGGCATGCTCAAGTACAAGGAGGACCCCAAGCTACACTCCGAGCCGCTCGGCGAAGGAGCTTTCAGCCGATTGGGCCGCTCAGATCGAGGAAATCGTTTCCTATCGGAATTTGACCTGTTTTTTTCACTCCCACTAACGTGACAGCTGACAGCTGACAGCCGACAGGGGGTGCCTTCAAGAGGCAACTCATCTTCCAGGCATCCCACAAATACTATGTTAGTGACTGAAAAAGGGCAACGTTTCAGAGGTTTCCTGTTTTTTTTTCATGCGAAGAATTTGCGTGCTTTGCAGGTGTTTGAGCCTCCTGTTCCTTCCCTGCTTTGTTGCCTTGCACATCGCCTGTGGGACCCAAGAGTGTGCGGGTACCCGAGGAAGAAAGAAAGCTATAAGCAATTCTTTTGGCCCACTTGCTTAGCCAGGGGGGTGGATGTGGGCCACTGGGATAGGTTGGGGTTGATCCCCTGGCAGCTATGATCAGAACATACCACACTCATATTCCTCAGGCTTTCCAATCAAATGGGTATGTCTCAAGCAAGGGGGACCCTAAAAATGCTTGTTTTCCTTCGGTTTACCTCTAAACCAACCTGAAAGAGGCTACCAACACCCCCGCACACCCGCCATTTGGAAGGGGTGGACGCCTTAGCCTCAGTCCGTTGGCAGGTGGCTGGCCATGAAGTCGGGCTGCAAGGCGAAGCTGGCAGCCTGGCTCAAGGAGACCATGGACCTGGACATCGACCAGGAGACTTTTCTCCACAAAGAAACGCCCCGTGTTAGCCGGAGGTGGCTGGCTATCTCGGTGATTTTTGGGTGGATGCCTAGTGGCGCGCTCCTCGTTGTTTTTGTGGTTTCTGTTTTTCACCGAAAGGCAGCCTTGGGGAGACTACCTTGATTCTTCCTTGCGTTAGGCTCACCCATGACGCAAGATTCTCCTTAATTCATAGTTTGACATGGCCCCCATTTTTCTGGAATCAAAATTCGGAGGGCGCCCAAGCTCCAAACCGCAGGCCAACCAAATCGATGAAGGGCTGGGGTGATGAAGACCTACCAAAGGCTCCGCCGAGTTTGGTTTTTGGTTCTGCCAGGACGCTTTGATCGACATCCAGAGCCTTGGCCGGGCACTTTGGGCGAGGTGAGGGGCACATGTGATCAACACGTCGTGCCTTTCACAGAGTTCAAATGACTCCTTTGAGGTACCTCATGAACGATCCCTGACAACTCAAAGACGTGCACAGCGTTTGTCATTGTTTTTGTTTTGTGCTTGTGCGTTTTTCGATACGTAGTGTTTCCCTGGCCTGGGAGCTTCCATATCGCCTGAGGGATGGTTGGGTGACCAAGCTGCCCGGCGAGAGCCGGGAGACGAAGCAAGCCGCTTGCGGCCGTTTGGCTCAAATGAGCTTACTGCCGGTTGTGCCGCTTGAGTTGAGGGTATACCCCTTTTTGGGTTTGCGCTATGCGTTATGCCCTTCATGTTTGTAAGACCGGCTTAAGACATGTCGGGTCAAGAGTTGTTCCGCGGTTTTACCCTTGGACAGGGCTGCGCACCTCAAGACAACATCCAAACCATTAAAACACATGGTGTTCGGCCCTGTGTGCTTTTCCAAGGGTCTACCCTTGCGAAAGGTTTTTTGGAGCAACTCCGGTCTGTTCAATCGCCATGGCGACCGCGATCGACGCCTGGATGCAGCATCCCACCAAGCGCTTCATGACGGATCCGATGTTTACGTCGCTGCTGCGCTGGAACCGCATCTGTGCGCTAAATAGCCCACAGCCCCTGAAGATTAACACGGAGCCCAAACAGGGAGCATGCCAAAAGCAGATTCCCTTTACACAACGAGGGCTTTCAGGTTCATGTGTCATTTCGCCTAAGGGAACCTCAACGAGGATGGATCATTGTTTAAGTTCTCCAGGCCCTTTGCAATTTAATACCCGGTTTTCATGCTGGGCACCCCTGTTGGGGCCTCCAACAGTATGGTCCTTTTCGAGGTCGACTAAGTATGGACGAGAAAGAGAAAACATGGGCGTGTCTCTTTTAGAGAACCCACAAAATTGTAGTTGTCCTTTTGCTTTCCCTTTAAAGCCACAAACAAGGGGTTCCCTCAAAAAAGACACACCCATGCTTTCCCTGTTGTTTGGGTTGGCAATCATGGCTATAATGGAGCTAAACCGGTTCCAGTTAACCCAGTTATACCGATGGTTATAACCTGGACGGTTCAGAGATTCCTCCATTTCCCCCCTTGGACCAAACAGATGTGGGCCATTGGTAAGTGCCACCCAGGCCTAGATCCAGTGCAGTTCCAAGACGAGAAGCACCCGATTTACACGCCGGAGTTCTCACTAGCCAGCATGGATGGAGCCAAGGTGGAAGCAGGCACAGGGCTTGTGGGCTTGCTTCGGTTTGGTTCGGGGTTGGTTGGTGGTGTTTGGCTGGTTGGTTCGTGTGTAGCTTGCTTGCTTGCTTGCTTGCTGGCTTGCTTGCTTGGTTGCTCGCTTGGTTGCTTGCTTGCTTGCTTGCTTGCTTGCTTGGTTGCTTGCATGGTTGCTTGCTTGGTTGCTTGCTTGGTTGCTTGCTTGGTGGATTCTTGCTGGCTGGCTTGCTTGGTTGGTTAGTTGCTTGCATGCTAATATTTTTGTTTGTTTGTTTGTTCGGTTGGTTGGTGGGTCAGAGAGGCCCTTGCCGGAGGTCTAGTTTGCGCCTGGTACGGGCCCGAAGGCCCGCTGATCTCCAATGAGGAGGCGGGTCAACATCCATAATCCCTTGGGAACGACCCCTATAAACCAGCCCCTAGGATTTCCTTCAAGGGCATCGCTGGGTTCATTCCCCAACACCCTGGGTCATTCCTTAGTTGTTTACTCATTTCCTGAGTTCCTGGGCTGTGTTCTCTCTCCGGTGGCAGTTTTGGTGGCAAACAACCAGCTGGACTTTTTCTTTTTTGACCTCAGTTGTTCAAAGCCAGGGTTGTGAGATCAAGGGGTTTATCCCCACTTCTGTGGTACTTTTGGGAATCTCCCCCTTTTTCTGGGGGGGTAGTCTTCGGGAAGCTCTTTTTGTATCACAGAAGTGGGCTCCACTTCTCAGAGGCCTGTTCAAAGCCGACCTTTTCACCTTTTGGTCTTCCAAAGGTTCACCTTAGTTCCAGGTCGTGGGGCAACTGGGAGATGGCGCTTGGATGATTGAGTTTTTGACTCGCTTCCTGAGTTCCTGAACTTCATGCTTGTGTACGAGCCTTGTTTTAATGGCATACAAACAGTTTGCTTTTCTGTTCCGGCCAGCCCAGGAAATGAGTTTAATCCATGGGCACCCGATGGCACCCGCTCCATTTTTTGGCCTACTGTGGATGGACGAATTCCGTTCGCACCACCTAAGAAACCCAACGGAATGATTCGAACCCCCCGCAAATACCAACAAGCCTTATGGATTCAACCATGGTTTCCGAACGGTGGTGCGATTTTCCTGAATTTCTGATTGGATTTTGCCATGGCTTCCCCTGCGATTTCAGGATTTCACCACCATCCACCCCACTTTCGGGTCAGTCCCCGAGGTCCGGCAGCTCTGCGCACTTCACCCGGGCCGCTTCCTAGGAGTGGCCTCTGGAGACATCCGCGACCCCGTGCGGTGCGTCGCGGGGATTCGGCAGTACGCCGCTCCTGCGCGCATGGAGTTTTGGATTTGGTCGTTTTTGTTTTTTTTGTTAATGTGTGTGTGTGTTTATGGCGTGGGTTCACGACTTGCACGTGTGTGTGTGTGTGTCAAAGAATGGGTTGGATTTGGATCCACGAACATGCGTGGTTTCCCTTTGGTTTCCCGTAACCTGAGAAGGTCACCCTGGAGAAACGCACGTATGTCCTTCACTCCTCGAGTTTCTGCGGTAAGGTCACCGCCATCAGATCCATCGCCCCTTCCCCCTTTGTTGCCCCAAGGCCAGACGAGAATAAGGCGTTACTTTCCTCCGAGGTACTCCAGCAGGGCTTTGTGGCGGTGCGGATCCTGCCGTGGCTTTGGGAGAGGTATGCAGATGACCGGCTCTTCTATCCCATCTATGCAGCGTGTGTGGAGCTGGGGGTGCCTTTGTGCCTGCAGGCGCGTACCCAGCGCTTATTAGAATATATGTATAATTCTGTTGGTACCTTCCCCATTCTTTCCAGGATCCTTCTTTTCAGGAAAGCATCAAACACTCAGGGAAACAGCTGGTTTTTGAAAATAACGATGGTTGAAAAGAATGGGGAATCATCCCTTAGAATAATATAGAGAATATAGAGATACATGGCATTTGTTGTTTGTTGTTGATACACATGCGTGTGTTTAAATATTGGGGTGCTTGTCGAAAACGCCGCCAACAGGTGGCTGTTCTGGCTGCCTATTTCATGACAATCTCGTGAACAATGGCCACGGACCAATCGATCCCAAACTTGGCTTGCAGGTCCGAATCATGGTTGTGGGAATCAACAGAGGGCTGGCCTTCTGCGATAGCAGGAGGCGGTTTTTCCTGCCCGTTCCTCGCATGGAAAACCAACCGGCCTTTTGCCCATGGAGATCTGGAGGAATTTCGATTTCCGGAAATGCAACCGGTGGATAGGTGGGGCACACGGGCCCCTTGCGGCCCAGCGACTCGGGTCGGCCCATCCCCCACTTGGAGCGGGTGCTTTTGGACTTCCCGGAGCTCACAGCGTCTCGGTCCACTCCGAGTCCTCGGCATTTGGGGGGTGGGGGAAATGGGGGGGGTTCCACTCGGTTAATGAAATAAAATGCGTTCTTTTTTGGAGGGGAGGGGCTCTGAGCGTTTTTTTTGTTGTTGCACTTTTGGAACTTTCGGGGAAGTTCATTTCAGAGCACGACCGAAAGTCCGGGCCCTCTTATTGATTGACCAATCCACTCAGAAAGTAAGTTAGCAATCTACTGGCAAGATCCTAAAGTCAAAGAGATGCCAGTGGCAGGATCCTGAAGAGATGCCACTTTCGGAGGTCGAACAAAGGGAAATTGCGGCGGCTGGAAATGGGACCAGGGTGCTGGTACCTTCCATGGGGAAAGCAGGCTCCTCCTGGTACGTGCAGATCCCAAATGGGATATGAGTCTCAGGTGGTGGGGGGCCACATCGGCGCGCCCTGGCTGGAGGAGATGCTCTTTCTGGCTGGCAAGCCCCAAGGCAAACATTAACCGGCGACCCATCCGTTTTTTGGAGAGTCGGACGCCTTGTGGGCCCTGGTTGAGATGGAAAAAAGCGAATAAGACTGCTGAAATCGCTGTAAAGCCAGGGCCCACAGGGCGTCCCACTCTTGTTTTTTTGCTTTTTTTGGATCCCAACTGGCGACGGCACCAGTTGGGATTGGTGGATTGTTTCCAGTTTTCATAGGGTTCAAGTCTTATGGCGTTAGGTTTTGGAATAGGACAAGTTGCCGTTTAGCTTATGGAGGGCCGAGGACAAATACCCCCCAATGAAGGACCTTTCCCCATGCATGTTCTCTTTGTGACCATACTCGCGACACGAGCAACGCACACAAAACAGATAAGACAAGAAGCACTAACAACATGGACACCGCTACCAGCAGACATAGCACATCGCAAGATGCATGAATGACAGGAAGAACACAAACAACACACAAGACTTGCACTGAAGGGACGCCGTCAGGGTTTTTGCCGTGGGCCAGTACTGGGACCTTTGGAAGTTTGCATTGTAAGGTTTGCTTATGGGACAGAACCAGTTCATCATTTTTGGGGGGGAATTCCCTTAATAACGCAGAAATTGACCCTGGCCCCCAGTTTTCCACGACCATGATGAAGGGCCAACCCCTGAAAAGTGTCAAACACCTGTTTCAGCAGGGTGAATGGCAAGGTTCAGCGACAACTCCTTCCTTCATTCCCCCTTGGTGCAAGAAAATATTGGATGGGGGGAGCTTCACAGTTGATGGGATGGGTGTTTCATCAAACATGGGGTTGTTCCCAATGGGGAGGGACAGAACCCTGCACCAGTTGGTCGGTGATTCATCCATGATTCATCCATGATTTATCGATGTATTCATAGGGCTTCATCCATCCAAGTAGTGCAGGAGTTTGTCCACCCACATTAGTTGCGGGGGCTTGAGTCAGGTTCCCCAACTTCTACATCGACACCTCAGCCTACGTGCCCGAGCGCTATCCCGCTGCCCTAGTGGAGTACATGCGCGGCCGCGGGGCCAAACGAGTGCTCTATGGCTCCAACTACCCCATGCTGCAGCATCAACAGATTCATTGCCAGACTTGTCGCATGTTTTTGCTTTTTGCCCTATCCATGGATTCCCTTAAGGATAAGTCCTCCCTTGTTCCAATTTCTTTGGCGCAATTCTTTGGGGTGTTCTTTGCTGTGTTCCCTTTGGGTTTCCTTCATCTTCGCGTTCGACGATAAAAAACAACGACCAACCTGTTGCAGGGGCCTAAGCCTGGCCAAGGATTTATCAGCAACTGGACAAGCTCAAACTGAGCGACGAGACTTTGGCGCTGTTTTTGCGTACCACGGCTGTGACTATTGCCCTCCCACTAATTAACATGGAACCTGACAATGGGGTCCTGCAATACCATCTTTCTTTTAAAGGGACCCCCTGTCAGGTTCCATCTTAATTGGTAGGATTTTTCCTGATGCGGGCCCCGATGAATTCTTTGTAAGCTGCATCATTGACGACGCTGCATCATTGACCGCGTGCCTCAGGTGGCAACGCCCAGCGCGTCTTCAAGCTGCCGCAGAAGTCGCGGCTATGAGCGGACGCCTTTTAGCGGGAACCCGAACCTCCGGTGGGTTGCTTGCTTTGACTCATTTTGTTCGAGGGGATGGCCCCCCTTCCCATGGCCACTGGAGGTCTGGGGAAACGAGTTGCCTTTGGTTTCGGCCTGCTTTCTGTCAGAGTGGGGGATCACAGCCGGCATCCAGTTTCCGCCAGCCGCAGCTCCGCGCCGAAAAGTGCGCTGGGAAGGGGCCGGGCTCCTCTTTTGGCCACCGGAAACCAAGGCTCCCACTCTGTGGGAACCAGGGATGTGTTCCAGAGGCTGGCCTTGAGGGAGGGGGGGGTGGCAAGATTGAGGGCACACATGATGTTTGATGTGATGCTCCCGCTTCCCCACAGCAACGTGGACAATTGGGGTGTTTCAGTAGGGGGTCCACTGTCCCGCTGGAGTGGTTTGCCATTACCATGTTGTATCTTTCCCGGACGCGTGCTTTTCCGTCTGCCTGTAAGATTTGCCATTTCGGCGTTACTGGTTCATGCGTCAGGGGCATACCTACCAAGATGAGTTGTTTGAAGCGTCCACACTCTCTCAATTGCAAGTCAACTTATGTGATGCCTCGGAATCTCCACCTTGAAGTGTGGTTGACTCAAAATAGAAGAATCTCCCCGGAATGGGAGAACTCTCTAATCCCAAACGGGTACACTGCAAAAGCGACATTCCCAGGCAAAGAAGGAGTCATTGAGACGATTTCCGGTGGCACAAATGGGTGGCAGTTCCCACGACTCGGTGCCTCCATGTTCCGGTGGAGCGTGCTTGTTGCTGTAGGATAGCGACCGCAAAAGCACAACGCACACTCAAAAGCTAAGAGAAACGAAGAAACGTGACAAGGGGGCCTGTCCAAAAGGCGAGTTGAGGCTTGCAATGGCGAAGTCTGAGAAGGATCTGCCCAAAGCGTCGCATGGGCCCAGAATCTGAGGATCAAGCGAATCCACGAGTACAAGCGACAATTGATGAACATTCTGCGGCTCGGCTTTGTGGCTTCCCCAAAAAACGATGGGTGAGAAGAACAGAAGATCAGCCGGTTGCCCGACGGGTCCGCAAAACGTGTTCAGTTATTGACCGGCTGCTATGAGCACGGTATTCGAAGACATTCTGACATCGTTTTTTGTCTTCTTCTTTTTTTCTCCATTTGGTCCATCATAACAAGTGCGCATAAAACCTTCTATGAATACAAGAGGGTTTCCACCACAGCCGAACCACTACCCTGAGGGGAAAATGGGCATACAAACACATACAAACACTATGTAAGCATTCTGGAAGGTTATCGACCTCATCATTTTTTTTGGGGTAGTGGTGAGGCTAATATGGTTTATTCTTATCCCTTCCATTGTGTTCTTTCTGGCCTGTGGACATTCAGCGCAAATGAGATGTCACCTAGGGAACGAGCTCACCCATGATAACAGGGCCCTTGCTTGGGCATTTCGATAAGCACACAGGTCGATGCATAGCAATTGACACTCCAGGTTAAGATTTGGTTGTCAAAAAGCATTCCATGCTTTTTTCATAGGAATCCGCTTTTTGGGGAACACCCCCTTGATTGGGTTCGATGTTGGCAGTGGCAAAGAGGTTTGTCATCCACCGCTACCTCGAGCTCAAGAGCAAGTCCCCCAGCGAGCGCCAATCCTACCAGAAGCGGGTGGTGCTGATTGGCGGTAAGGCGCGGCGGGTCTGCGGGCTCCGCTTTCCTCACTCTGCGAATTCTTGGGAGCTTTGCCCTTGAGTCACTAGGTCCCCCACCTAGGTGCCCTTTCTCACCCCTTTTTTGGTTGGGAGGGTTCCCCTACTAAAATAGACTACAGAAAAAAGGGTGCCCTTATTCTAGCCTCTCTGCTGGAGGACCTAGGTCAGCTAACACGCTACTTCCCCATTCTTTCCAGGGATCCTTCTTTCCAGAAAACCATCAGAACCCCAAACAGCTGGAAAAGAACGATGGTTGAAAAGAATGGGGAAGCAACCCCTAGAAACATGGAACCCATCAGAGAAGGAAGAATCATTTTCCAGGACCCCTCAGTGAAATGCCATGTGTGGACAGGAGGGTATGTTCGTTGATAAAAACAGGTTGAGACTTGTATCTTTTGTGTGGCCAGTCCACTCAGGGCGTGATCCTCTTGTAGGTTTCATCATCCTTTTAATCACTGAGAAAAAGGCAATTACTGTGCTATCCACTTTCGCTCTGGGGTCGTGGGAGTTAGTACATGTTGTCAGATTGAGAGGCTCGCCTTGACAGGGATACCACCAATTTCAATCTTGGATTTGCAAATGCTTGGCGTTGCAGGATCAAATCTAACAAATGAATGTGATACCGTGCTCGGCTACAAATCCAGGAAGCCCTCCTTGAACATACGGGCATACCCTTGTCAGGATGGATTTGTGGGTATCCCATGTTTGACACGTCTCGGAGCCTCGCAGTCGGCAAGGCGGCGTCGGCCTACGTCAACGCAAAGATCATCATCAAGCTCATCAGCAACGTGTCGAAGGCAGCGGCCAGCGCCGTGCAATCGAACGCCTGCCTTGGTAAGTCACAGCGCTGCGCATCGCTGCCATGATGTGTCACTGCAAACACGTGGTTCATGGCTGCTCTTCGCTTGGATGTTGCACCTTGAGATTTTTTGGGACATGAGCATGCATGAAGAGCCAGCAACAAGTCAAAGTGTGTGCGAAAGGGGCAGCAGCCCATGCATTGGGCTGAAGCTCCATGACTGGTGCAGGTCATCAACGCGGACCCGGACACTGCACCCTACCTGAAGTGCGGCGCTCATTTATCCATGGCGCAGGGCGCAGGGGTGTTTAGCCCCGTGAAAAAGGGATGGAGCTACCAGGACCCCTGGATTTCATGGTAAGTTGGGTGTCCGTACTGAGGGACACTTCCAAGGTTGGCAGTTGTCGGTTGCTTCACCATGCCAGTGTTCCATGCTCAACTGGGTGATGAGGTTCCCTTTGGGACAACCCCAGAAAATGGGTCTATCAAAGTCCCAGAACATGGTCATAGCAGCCCGCGGGTCGCTTTTTCCCATGAGAGATCCCAAGGTCTGCAAGCCCGCGGGCCGCTTTTCTTTTCCCGCCCTGCTTAGGTGTGCCTTCGTGCCCAACTACTGCGTCTCCGCGGCCCAGATGATGATCCCGGCCTCCGACATCTCGGAGCACATCTCCACGGCCGGCACGGAGCCTCGCTCTCGAGTCCGAACGCACCCCCTGGAGGGGGGATCATGTATTCTTCTAAGGGTTGCTTCCCCATTCAGGGAGCCTTCTTTCAAGAAAGCCACCAGAAGCCCTGGGAGAACAGCGATCGGCTTTTGGAAAGAGCGATGGTTGAAAAGAATGGAAAAAGACTCAACTCCTAGAAATGCCATGTAGCTATGATGTTTTAAGAGTCAGAACCAACCACAAAAGGGTGGTGGACATGAGTCCGGGACTGAATTTCGATGTCCACCAAAGAGTCCGGGACCCATTGATAATTCACACTGTGGATGGTTGCGAAAACCGTTCGCACCACTTTGAAACCATAGTTGAAACCCACAATTTGTTGGTACTTACAGGGGAATCGAATCAGAAACCAGGGTTTCTTAAGTGGTGCCTAAGAGGATTTCGCAACCATCCACAGTATGTTCATGTACGGAAAGGCAACTTACTTGCCCCCAGAGCTTCTGCATCGTTTTGGCCGCTCCACTTGGGTGAGGGAAGGGACGTATCCCAATCAAGGGCCCTTCCATCAAAAAAAATCCTTTGACTTGCAAAGGAAGCAATGTGGTAGGGATTAGCTGACAGCATGTAAGAACAGTTTGTAGTGTGTTTTGCTCATGCATTTCTTTGGTTTGCTGCAAGCCAATGAAATGCATTGGCCAACAGACTGCAGCTACTGCCTGATGCTGGCACTCAGTGCCTGGCTGTGGCATGACATGTGTATGCACTACAGCTTTGTGTTAGCACAATTCCTGCAACATTACCCTCATGCATACACAGGCATGAGGACAAAGGTTTGTGCATGCTTCAACACATGTTGAAGCTAACCAGGTGGCATGTGGTGCAAATACCCATGTAGCATGATGCATGTAAGAACAGTTTGTAGTGTGTTTGGGTCATGCATTTTTTGGTTTGCTGCAAACCAATGAAATGCATGGGCCAAACAGACTACAGCTACTACTTGATACTGGCGCTGGCCCCCCAATGCATGGCTGTGGCATAACATATGGATATGGAATATTGATGCAGCCATGTACTGGCAGAATTCCCGAAACCTTGCCTGCGTGGCCCAAAATTAAAATACCCCTTGCTTATGCATAGTATACCACTTCCAATGCAGAGAGTTTCTGTGCGCTTTTCCGCCAACCATTTATTCAGCAGCGGACGCGGACTGCTTTATGTTGTTGGGTCCATGGATGAACTTTTCGCTGCTTTGCAAGGATCGAACAACTGGATTGTGTTTCAATGAAGCATCTCGCCGTTCTCGGACACGGGGTGATGACAATGCACCATTTTGGCTTGGCCTCTGACCATTGAGGAAGCCAGCGGCACCTCCAACATGAAGCTTCCTGGCGGGATTGGGGATGCAATGCCCACTTCGGATGAAGAAGGTCCTCCAGATTGATCGGGATTGATCCATTCAAATGGCACCACTCTTACTTCCCTCTCACCAACTAGCTTGGAACCCACCAGGTCGCCCTGGAAGAAATGCTTTCCGCTTGCAGGTGCCACCTGGTGGGTTGAAGTGAGTGTGGCTGGGAGGGTAATACGACATTGAGATTTATCCGACGTTCGCATTACCCATATGACGAACGGGAAATGGCCCACGCGCGAGACCACAGCTTTCACTTCACATGTGCATTTGCCCGCACGGCACGCTGGCTTGCGCCACAGCACGGATCATTTGGGTGGGGCAATGTGCCCGAATTGTTCTTGTTTTCCTTTTGGGTTTGTCAAGGTTCAAAAAGAGAAACCTTTGATTTGTGAGTCATTTGGCAGGGGCAAGCGCGATGTTACTTATACACTTTTCAGGGCAAACCAGTCCTAGGGGCTGGTATGCTTATCCGTTCCGATCATGGGGCCCGTTCGCTTGGTGAATTAATTCACCAAGACGTTTCAAAGGGATGCTAAAAATTGCTGCTTAGAGGCTTAGAGGCTTAGGCCAGCATACGTAACCATCCAACGAATGCCCTGGTTTACTTGTCCGACTTGGCTCGCCCCATGCCCGCCGGCTCGCTCGCAGTTGCCTCTGGTTTTGATCCGAAGCCTCGGGCCCTTGACTTGAGCCGAAGCATCACAAAGCCACGAAGGCCCTGCAAGGAGCCTCCCAAAGTGGCCCTAAACATCACAGAGGTTGTCCGGAAAAAATGGAGGCCACTTTGAAAAGGCGTGTTTTTTGTGGAGGCTCGGGTGCTAAGTGGACAGTCGCGAGCCAGGCGAACCGAACCCACATGAGCGTGTCATTTTCCCCGGCTGAAATGGTTGATCAGTTTTTACCCAGCGAGGCTCTGTGGTCCGGGCACGGGGCACGGGGCCGTTTTTTTCCTTTTTTTTCTCGATTTCCAAAATGTGGGCCTCCGGCGATGCCGCGGAGTTCCGGCGCCTCCTCGGTGCCGCGGGCTTGGATCGAGAGGCAGAGAGGCTGGGGAGGGCTCCCAAGGGAGTGCCGGACCCACAGAGCACCTGCCCCTGAAGTCTCCATGGCCCTCAAATGAGGTCATTACCAAGTAAGGGGTCATGGACCCATTTTTTTGGGGGGGTCATGAAGACTCTAGGCCCGCAGATGTCCTGGGCTTTGTGTGTGGAGGGGGCAAAGCAAAGCTTATATTTTTCTTGATGGGCCAGGGGGGGATGGGGAGTCGGCTGAGGGTTCGGATGTTTCCCACCGATGGCTGAGAGATTCCCCATGATTTTGATCAACGACCCAGCAAAACGTTGAAGGGAACAGCGAACCAGTTTCTGTCTTTGGGCATCCGGGGGGGGGGGGGGTGGTGGGGCGCTCAGGTGTATTGGGGTTCAGCTCAGACAGAGGAAATGGATCTCCAAAGTAGTGTTTTCCTCTCAGTTCCGAATCGGCTTCAACAAGATTCTGACTATGACCTAACTAATTAGATCCTAGAAACGGGAGGGGGGTCGAGTGTGGCTTTGATTCCTGCTCGCGTGTGACTTGTATTGCTTCACCGGCTCCAAGCCGAAACCTATATTATAGAAGCCCTAAACTGCGTTGACCCTAAACCAACACCAAACCCTAAGCCATGTTGACCCAAAAGCAATAACCTCAACATGAACCAACATTTCACCCTGAGCCGTAATCTTAAACCGCGTTGACTCTAAACCAAAACCTAAAGTACTAAAACCCGAGCAATAAACAATTTTGACTCTGAACCCAAACCTAAACCCTGAACCCCACACCCTCAACCCAAACCTAAACATCGGCGTAGACCCTGAACCAAAACCTATCGAACCTAAACCCTCGACCCAAACCAAAAAACCCTAAAAGTGACCCTTCACCAAGAGCGCAGGGAACAACTAGGACTTGAACCCCAGACCGAAGCCTAAATCCAACCGGGCTGACACTAAGCTTCTTAAACCAAAACCTCAACCCTAAACCGTGTTGTCCCTCAGCCAAAGCCTAAACCCTAAACCGTTTTGACACTAAACCCAAATCTGCACCCCAAAAGGCCCAAACCCAGTGCATCGCGCTGCACCGGACGGAAAAGTAGTCCGCAATGGACCCTGACGGGGGGCAAAAGCCACCTCGAAGGGCCATTTCATTGACAAGGACGGCAGAAACTTCAAAACTTGGGCCCCCGACGTTTCCCCCACCTCTTGAATGCTATTGGGTTGGATCTTTAGACTTTCACTTTTCGGGAAATCAATGGGTTTTCCACTCAACCACTTAAAAGTTGTTAACTTTTTGCAGGGGGGTCGACAGCAACCAAGACCTTGGAACCAACAGACTGAGCCCAGAGGCAGCTCTTGAGCGCCTGGCGCCGCAACTCGCAGCTCTGCTGCCAGCTCTGCGCGCAATGTTTGGCGGACGCCTCCGCGGCCCCGGCAGCCAGGCGAGCGGCCAGGGTCGCCATTCAAAGGATCCAAATGGGGATGGGTCGAAATTAACCCACCAGGATATGGACCGCAGGTTTTAGTTTGTTTCCATTTTCCAGAGATCCCTAAATCAGAAACCCCTGCAACTCCTGGCCTTATTTTGGGAAACAGGAGTGGGAGGGGGGGGGGGTGGGGGCGGGAGTCTGGGGAAGGGGGGAATGTGAGTTGCCGGCTCGGATCGGGAAAGTTGAGCTTTGTTGATGACTGATCGCAGTAGCCAGCACTACTCAGGAGCCAGCCATCTTCTGTTCCGTGTGACAGGGTGTCCTTGTGAATCCACTGCACATGTTGGAATTACTTGGGATGGGAAGTGTGGGGTCAACAACCGAGATTGCATTTCTGTCTCGATGCCGCGGTTTGGGGGGGGGCCCTACGGAGGGTCGTTTTCGATGTACGTGCATATCGTTTTCACCAATGATACAAATTGTGATGAAAATACATCGGAGACAGAAGTCCCCGCGGCACATGTGAAAACACGGGGCTTCCCCCCCCATCCCTTGGCACCAGAGCAACATGGCAACATGGTCAGGAGAAACATTTGTACACTGTATCGTTGTGGGTTAAACGTTCAGGGCTTTTATTTTTGTTGCTTCTGCGTGTGGCAAGTGGGAGCCACCCCAACATTCATATCCGCTGACCTGCAAACTGCGGTCGTGTTTGTTTCACCACATATTGGGCCTTGCTGGGTGCCCAAGATGGAGCGTCAGGCAGCTGGCTGCGGTGATGCTGAAGAACCACTGGCGTGAGTGGGGACCCCGGGGCAAGTCCCACACAGGGGCATGGAAGGCGCCAAGAAAGGGGCTGAGAGTTTGGCTTCCTTTCAAGCCTCGAACAAAGGGCAGCAATATAAGTCTTAATTGGAAATTGACCCTTCGGTGCACATCATAAATAAATGGGAATCGTCCTTCAGACCTTGTGGATTGTGTCAGTGGTATCTCTTTTGACAGCATTTTGCTTTGGAAGGTTTAGCAAGATGGACCGGAATGCAGCCATGCAGTTGTTTTGAGTTGGGCGCACATGTGCCAAGTTGCCGCCCAGCATGCAACAGATGGATCAGGTGCTAGCCCCTTGAGAGCTTTTCGGGGTGCCTGGCAAGTGCTCAACTCGGGGCCCAAGGGACTCGTCGCAGTCGTGGGATCCCTTGTCTGCGGCCCGGGCTACTTGGATGTTCAATCCACATAGGAAGTAGCGCGCAGGCGGCATATGTCGGGAACCGGCGGTGGGGTCAAGCAGCTCGCTGCGAGCCAGGCTTGTTTGTTAGCCAACCACTTTGCCAGCCCGCAAAACCCAAGAAGTGTGGTGTGTTTTTTGTTTGCTTCAAGAGGGCCCGTTGTTGGCAGCTTCTTTTGACACCTGCCTGTCGCATTGTGCATGGAGGTTCGGTTCGTATTCCTTTGTTTCGGCCAGCAAAGGGTATGAACCAAGTTAGTGTCTTCACACTGCCGATGTGAGTGCTTAAAGCAGCTTCTCAGTTTCTGGGCTTGTCCTTCCGAATCATCCCGAACCCCAACACAAGACGCCATATGAATCAGCCTGGGCATTATTCATCATGGGTTGCCATTCGTCGGGCCCCAGTTGGGCTTTGCGATGTTCGGCATGCAGGTGGCATGACGCACGGCACATCATCGCAACGCAGCCGTTTTAAGTTCAGCTCGAACTGAGAGAGGCGCGGCAAAATGTGCGATCATGGCACGCCGGAAAGGTGGCAGTGTGGGAAGGGGCTGGCCCAAGCTGATACTCTGCTGGTTTTCTTTGCTCGCCCTAGCAGGTGCGCAGCAAAACAAATGTGCCACACCATGGATGATCTATGGTTTGGGCCATTGTGTGGAAGATGGGAAGTCTGTTTGGTTTGCGTCCTCACTCCGTGACTGCCTGCAACGGTGCAAACAGACGCGGTTTTCCCATGCACCATGCGCGTTTGCCTCTTTTCTTGATGACAATGTCCTGCAGCGCACTGGTGTCATGGGCCAATGCCGTCTTTTTCCGCGCTGCAACTTGGCTGGTCAGACTGACCATGAAGCTCGTAACTTTAGGGAGCTTGACTCGTTCCCCATCACCTTTCTTGCCAACAATCATGGAAGTGGACAAAGGCATTTTAAAGATGACAACAGCTTTCCAAAGCCCAGCTGTCCACTTCCACGGCTGCTCCTTATGGTTGCTGGAAACAGGATAGCCAGCAACAGTGAAGGTTTCACAGAGGGCCAGTCTGACCAACCTAGGCAACATATTGCGTTCGACGACCTTCGGCTTTGTCACGTATTTGCGGCGCAATGCTAGTATCACAGCTGTGCACGACGCGTCGCTGGAGGGCTTAGTATCACTCTCTCCTGCGAAGCCGTACTGCTCCCCTGCCTCATTGCCAGGCTTAAGTAACCTTTTGGCCCTTTTGGGTTTCCCGCATTTTCCCTTTGAAGGGGTTTTGTTTGAATCCAACTCTAAACCAATCCTTAACGACCCCTTTGCGTTTTCCCAGCAGCAGGTTCACTTTAAGACTTTTGTCTGGCGGAGGCATGTGCTACCACGCAGCTTTGCGTATCCCAGGGGCTCCGCCTGGAAAACTGCAGCATCGCAGATGGCCTCTTCAGATTGCAGGTGGTGAAGGCTGATCTACCTGGGAAAGATGAGGGTCTGGTGCGCATGCTGGTGGAAATTTGGCCCAGGACAAGTTCGGAGCAGCTTCGAAAGAAGTTAAACGGGAAACAAAGACACGGAGGACTCCATCATATAGAATATACCATATGTATATCTGTATGTCTATATACAGATATACATGCAGGGATGATGGACCAAAAGTTCCATGTTTACCGGAAGTTGCAGGAGGTCCAAGAATCCAGCTGCCTAAACGCAAAAACAGATATGCGGACCCAAATGGAAAATCATGGGACCCACATGGTTTGCTGAAAGCCGTATATATATATATATATATATAAACATCTAGCAACGGGCTAGCAGCTAGGACATTTATCGCAGAGTAGTTGTTCATAGCAGAAACCCCTATTTTTGAAATATTCTATATGTTGTTTTCTTATTTTGAAATATTCTATCTGTTGTCTTCTTTTTGGTTGAAATATTCTATCTTCATTTTTTGTTTATTCTAACTGACTTTTTCCTATTTATTCTAACTCATTTTGTTGATAGACTTTTGAAATGTGCATTTTCATTTACTCTAAAAAATATATTCTAACTGCTAGCCCGATACTATAGCTTTTGCAGGTCTGTTTTTCAGTCCAAGTTGGGGCCTCATGCAGGCCAAAGAAGAAAGTGTGTGTTTCTCAAACCCAAACCCTTTTTTTCCGACCAAACTCTCTTTTTTAAACTGTAAAAAGGGCCCATTCTGCGCAGGATGGTTGTTCCCGTTGCACACTTGACTTCGCAGGAGCACAGGTTTGGGGCCGCTGTGTGGAGATCAGCTTGGTCCAAGCCTCGCGTCGAAGGATTCATCGGTGGATTGTCGCAACAAAGTGTGGGAGATCTCACGGCGCCAGGAGTCACTCGGGCGGATTGGGAATTTTCGACCCACAATGTGGGTGGTGGATGCTGTGGATGGATGCACGGGAAACCAGAGTTAGTTGGCATGTTTATGGGAATCAGCATTCCAGAGGTTCTGAACGTTGCAGGATTTCGTCCATCCACAGCAAGGCGAGTTTGGTTTTCCGGGAGTCATCCAATTTCCCTTTGTTTGGGTTGGTAAGTATGGAATGGAGCTTGACTGTTCTAGTTCACCCATTGTATCCATCCGAGCCTATGGTTCACACATTATTGTGTGAGTCCAGTTTGTAGATCTTGAGCTTCTCAGTTACCTGGATCGCCAGTTGCTGTTTTTTTCTTGCAGCTATGACTGTGTTAGGGTAAAGCTGCTGGAAAAAAGCAGCAACTGGGCGATCCGGGTATTTTGAAACCAGAGGTTTGGTAGGGCCCAACAGACGCCGAGCTCGTGAGGTCGAGGGCTCCGCCGCAGCTTCGTCCAAGTTTGCCTTGCGTTTGGATCCGGAATCGCGGGCGATACTTGGCAGTGAGCCAAGGCGCTTTGCGCTTGCTGCCTCCGCAACTCCTAAACTCATCAGAGGCTGGGGCGCGTGAAAAGCATGCCCAAGCGACCAGCAAACCCCGCGTTTCGCAGAAATGCATTTCTAGGGCTGATTGTTAGGGCCTAGCCACCAGAACGGGCCTCAGAGCCTTCAAGAATGCTTCTAAGGAGGTTTCCCTACTTGAGCCCGCAGGTGTCATGCTGGGCCATCGGACACGAGCAACGGGTCCAGCTGGACCTCACCAAATCACCTGAAGCGCATCTCAGCCCAAGGCATTTTCTTTGGTCCAACGATATGGGCATGGGTCAAAATGAATCCACTGGAGGACCGCAGGTATTGGTCCTTGTTTCCATTTGCCAGGGTTCCATTTTGGGTACGTATTTCTGACCCACAGCCATATGTCCTTGCAGTTTGCCCTTTCTTGATTGTTTGCAGCAGGTTTCACATTTTCGCCTGGCTTTCGTTAGTTTTTCGACGTCCTTTTTGGCCCATGCCGTTTTTAGTGGTCCCTTTCCTGTCCAGTTCTTCGTCAATATGTCCCAAAAGATGATTGGTCACCTGGCGGGTGAGGTATGCCTTTGGGGGCAACGGTGACACCACGCTCTGGATCATGGCCTCCCAGTCTTACGGGCACCTGGTGCAGCGCTTGTTCGACCGGATCCAACGTGCCGGTGACCCGGTCCTGGTTTGCGTGTCATGGGTCCCGGACATGAAGAACACCCGACAAAAAGGCTTTGTGGTCAAGGGCTCTTTCGCAGAGTTCAACTCCCGCAAGTTCCTGATCCTCCTGCAAGCTACCTTGGCCATGGAGTTGTCCCGGACAGTGGCAATCGTGATGGACCTGGACGTGACGCTTTTCAGCGGCTGGGTGTCCACTCTTCGGCGCTGTGTCGGGGTTGGGTCCGCCGATCTTTGCTTTACTCAGCGGCCTGGGTTTCAAGACGGGCGCCTGCAACAGGTGAACAGCGGCTTGATCGCCATGAACCCACAGGCCCTGCCCTTTGTACACGCCTGCGTCGCGCGATCCCAGGCTCATGAGGTTATAGACCGCCACGCGGTGACGCAAGAAAGCGAAGCCCATGCCGAGCAATCGTTGCTGAACCAAGTGCTCCTTGAGATTCGTGCAGGGGCGGAAGACGGCACCGCATATCAACCTGTGCAGTGGGGAGTGTACAACCCGCTGCAGGCACATTCGGCATTTTTTTCCATGCAGACCTTGCTGTCGACGGTGGCGCATCATGTCACTTTTTCAGGGGCAAACCTTGCTGACACTCAATTGCCCGAAGCCGACCCTTTCATTTTTTGGTTTCCCATGTTTGGTCCATTTTCAGTCTTGGCCCCACATAGTTAACCTTTTATGTCTGCTTTGGTGCATGTTGCTTGGAGGCTAGGACTTTAACTTCTTGCCAACTAATGAGTTTTCCATGCAACCACTAAAAGTTCAACTTTTAGCAGGGGAGCAGAAAGCCACCAAGTCTGGGCTTTTTAAGGGGCAACTGAGGACAAGCTGCGATACATGTCCAACGTTGAGCTCTTAGTGGATGACCTGGCGATCTTTTGTCCGCGGTTTGTCCTGGGACCTTGGCCGGATTTTTGCTTTCTGTACACGGCCGTTGACCCGCATTTCGGGCCAGTCCTGCAGGACTTCAAGGTGGGGGAACCAAGGACCAAGGGCGCACCTTTTTGGGCTACAAGAGGGACACAGCGGTGCACTTGAGTTTGAGGCCTTTTTTTTTGGTGGGTTCAGCACTAAAAAATGGAATCTACACTTTAACCTCACCAGATACTGTGGATGGACGAACTTCTGGACCACCTAAGACACCCTGGAATGATGATCATTTTTCCAGCGGACAATAGTGTCCCACTGTTTCTTAGGTGGTGCGAACGGATTTTGTCCATCCGCAGTATAGTCGTTGGTCGGTGGCGAAAGCTGTAGGTCACTGGTTGCACCTGGTCAGGTCCTTCATGGCTACGCGGGCCGCGATCTGCAGAAGCTGGTTGCCGCCTTGGATCATTCTGAGGCGCTTGCGGCCCACCCAGGGACGCACTATCCACTGGTCGATGTGTTCAACAAAGGAGGCTGGAGGCAGGATGTGCCGAAACCCAGACCTCCGGTAAGGCAGCCTTGTGAGAGGCAGGAACAACCAACAGTTCTATTTGCCCGTGGCCACTAGAAGTCTGGGAAATTATGAAAGAGCAAGTTCCCCCAAAAGCAAAACGCAATGTCCATCTCCTTGTTTGATTTCGATATGTGTTTGTCAAGGCCTTCAAGAAAGGTGTTAGGCTGTTTGTTTTTCCAACTTCTTGAGTTGTGAACAAGCAACACTTTAGGCCCCCATGGTTTATTTGACATGTTGCACCTTGTGGGGTGATGATTAATATTAATAGGGTTTCGCGGCACGATTGCTGCCATGACGCCGCACAAGCTGTTTCAATTCACCAATTGCCTTGGAACCCTTAGGTGCAAGCCCGAACGAGTTGATGTTCAAACGTGTTGTACCAGATGCCATGGGTAGTTCGGATCTTGCTTGGACATAGCGCTCGGTTCCCGTAGCATTCACATCAGGGCGTTCACGGTCCATTGGCAAGGGTCCATTTAACATCCACGCCCATCAAAACATGAAAAACATGTTCCCCCTCAAATTCCTTCCGCAGCTTTATTTTGCCTGGTTTCAAACGCTGGAGCACTGGTCTTGGTGGCTCCCAGCCATCCCGTTAGCCTTTGAGCCTTTTAGTGTTTAGTGGTAGTTTCCATTTAACCCGCTAAAAGTTAAACTTTTAGCGGGGGATCTGAGGGCAGCCCAGTGGTTGATCGACCTCAGCACCCCTTAACTTTGCCTTGGGAGCGGACCGCGCCCTCTAGGAGCCCTGTATAAGCGCCCGTCGGCCTTGACCCCGGATGAAGTTAAACCCCTGTTTATTGATATGGGGGTGGGGGCCCCTCCAAAAGTGGTCTGAATCCCCACCAAAACCGGGGAAATCCGCATTTCACAAGCAGGGGTTGAACAAATCCGGGGTCAAGGCCCCTGAAAAGGAGGGCGCTGATAGAGGGCCAAGAGCAAGTCCGTTCCCCGATGCTTGGCCCAACCCAGGCGATACAAGGCCCTTCGGCGGAACTCCTCGTCCTATCTCTGCAGTGTACTCTGGCAGGTCGCCTGCACGGGTCAAAAGCGATGGAGTGACTCCGCGTTTTGGCGTCGGCTTGATCGGACTGACCATGGAACCAGAAAAACGCAACCAGAAGGAATCTCATTTTGCGGAAGCTGTTGGGTTTGGATGTTGATGTACCCGGTTTGTTTGATTTGCACATCGCCTCTTGCTTGCCACTTGGTGAGCTTGCTGTAGCTGATATGTTCTATGTGGGACATATGGGGGCCTCACGCTGAGACCTTCGAGGTTCTTTTTGTTGAAATCAATTCGAATCAAGACCCATAGGGTGCATCAGGGGCACCAACCCCAGCACGAAGCAAAGGGATATGGGGACCATGGGTATCTCTTAGCTAGATGGTGCCACTAGTTGCTTCCCTGCCGCGTGAGACATATGCTCATAGCAAGCCTTTGAGTGAGAGCATTTCCCAACATGGTTGTCGAAGCTTGGATTTTAGGACGACTCTCTATGGCTTTATGAGAGCCCCCCTTGATGCTGTGGAAGAAATCCTGCACCCCCCCCCCCAAGAAACCCTGAGAGAATGATTCCCATGCAAATACCCACAAACAATGGTTTCCCATGATTCCGTAGGTGGTGCGAAATGGATCCCCTTGATCGAGTAGTCTGCAGATGGTTTGCTTTGGCATCACCGGGTCTTTTCCGCCGGCCGAGGCTGGCCGCCTGGCCAGGGGATACGGATGCATACTTCTTCCGCCAGGCGCGATGTGTGGAAGATAACCTGGGTGCCTAGCATCACCATGGCCGTCGCTAGGAAAAGCAGACTTGTTGCGGTTGTTACCACACATTATCTTGGTTTTGACCTATTTTGAAACCCTGGTTTGAAGGAAGGCAACCAGATAGGGAGGCAGTTATGCATGGGTATTTCCTAGATCCATGGCTACCCATGGACAAGAGATAGCATATGTTAGCATAAAAGCCGTTTAGCCGTGGACAAAAACACAACTTCCATATGAATAAGCCGTTTATCCATGGGTATAGCCGATTTCCCTGGCCTTCCACGTCGTGGCTTCCGCGGTAGGCCTGCCTCGCAGCCCTGGACCCCTCTGCCGGGGCCCGGGGCACCCCACGCCACGTGGCCCGCGCCGCGGCGGCGGCCGCGGCGGAGCTGGCGGCGCTGGGGCAGAGCCCGGAGCTGGCGCCCACGCTGCAGAGGAGACGGGGGAACTGAGAAAGGCCGTGTTTGTTGTTGACATGGTGAAACTGGTTTTGGCGTCGCGCTGTTGCCTACCTACACTTTGGTGCAGAATGGGGGTTTTCCGTATTAAACCACTAAGAGTTAAGCATTTAGCAGGGGAGCAGAAGGCAACCGAGGTGTTCGTTGTTAACATGGTGAAGCTGATTTTGATGTCACATTGTTGCCTACCTACATTCACATGGCTGTGGGTCAAAACCAATGGTACCATTCTGGGGAAGGTGCACCACCCATTTCAGTGAATTTTAGTGGGGATTGGGTACACGTAATCTGGTTGACCATCCCAGCGAGATCCCGCCCTGTCTTCGACAGCAGGTGGGCGGCGAACGGCGCGTCAGGCCATGCCTTTCAGGCCATGGCGTGTCTCGCAGAGAGCTGTTGGCGGCGTGGGGCAAGGCTCCCGGTGCTGGCGCCTCGACCGGGCTTAGACATTAGGGTTTGCTGGACTGAATTGACCTGACTCACCTTAATTAGGCAAGCAAATAATTCAGACCTACCTAAGCTTGAGATTGTTTAGGCAATTTGCCCCTTGGTCCTTGTGTGGCACGGAGGCTAAGCGTGGCCAACCTTACAAGTTAAAACTAGCAATGGGTTGTGATGACCCAGGTGTGGTACGTCCAAAAGACTGGTTTTCATGTTCCGCAACGATGACCAAGGCTTGAAGGGAAAGCCAGGCCGAATCATTTGACCCCTCCTCGGTGGTTTGAAGTTGTCGTTTCGGAATGAGACCACGAGGGGATTTGAACCCTAGCGTCCTAATGAGCCACCGCCCCGCATCAGCCAATCCCTTACCCGGCCTTACCCCAATCGGGGATTTCTCCGTGCAAATGAATGGAGGGAACTCAAATGGGGTGTCCTTCCCAAGGACGTTCCTCTCAAAACTATGGACCCTTGTTGGGTTCCGTGCTAATTTGAAGGGGTGGAATTGAACTGCTAAACCGAAACACCTGGCTTGGGAACCTTATACGCGGTTGGTTTTCAGTTCCTGGTCTCCCTCGTGAGGACCTCTTGCGGTCAGCTTTGCGCCCGCTGCAGGGAGAGTTCGAGGAAGCCGGGAGAGGGACTGGGTGCACAAGACCGCAACAATCATGCAAGGCATCCCCCAGAGAATCCCAAACGGTGATGGATTTGTGTATGCGGGTTGGTGTTTGTTGAGGGTAAGCTGTTTTTGTGGTAAGAGAGCTAACCCACGAGGAAAATTGGGTGGCCAGCATTCTGTCCAGGACGGCGCTGGAACTAACAAACACCTTTTAAGGCATTCAGAGCAATCGAGCCAACCCAAGGTCCATAGAGCAAGCATGTGCCAATAATTGCAAGCATCGGCCAATGATAAACATATCTCCAGCAATTGAACCAGTTCTTTTCTCAAAAAGGCCCGGTTTACTTCCATGTGCTCGAGAGTTGTTTTTTCTTTATATAGTTTTCCTTGGTTTTAAAAGGAATTGTCACTACTGGACATACTTTTGTATTTTTTGCAGGGGTCGAAAAACCAAATGGAAGTTGAGTGTGATCCCACTGCGCGACCTTTTGGCGGGTTCCCCTCGCTTGCGCCAACTGCACTTTTAGGATGCCACCCACGCGGCAGAGGCGGTCTTCGAACTGCTTGGCTGCGATGAGTTGCAGGATGAGGCCCACATAAACTCACCCAGCCAGTGGACACACTTTACACTTTTTTTCCTTGGTGGCTCTCCCTTTTTCCGAGTGGTGGCCCAAAAGTGTACACTTTTTGTTTGGCTGGTCACTGGCCAATTGAGTAAAAGGGGCTTGGAAGGGCGGGCGTCATTTCTCGTCCCTTCTTTTTGGGATGTAAAGCATGCACATTGTGTTGCGTATTGTTGCGTTTTGTTTGGAGGCGGATTCCCTTGAAGATCAGCCCAGCAATAAAAGGGTGTTTGTTTGTGCCCATATCCTGGGTCGTTTTGTTTTCCTTGACTGCTGGTTTGATGGTTGACCCGGGGGGTCCAGCAGCCCCTTTCATTTTTTCCCAAAAGAGACCCTGGATGAGGCTGTGAGCGAACAGCTAATCCTGGCTTTGCTGCATGCGTACGCGGGCGCTTCAGATGAGCAGCGCAAGCATCCGCATGCTGAGGAGGGGTTGCAGATGCGGCGAAGTCTAAGTTGGAGACTCACAACATGGGTGGTTTACCAATGTTGGCCTTTCCGCAACCTGCACACATCATGTTCAACCAAGCATGCATGTCATCAATTTTACAATGCCAGCTGCACCGCGCAACCAGGCTTGTGCTTGGGGAAACGCAGTTGGGACAAGTTAAAATTGTGACTAGGCAACTCAGCTGGCCAACGTTTGAACCAACTCAAGTAAATAGGCACAATGTGTTTCTCTCTTTCTCCCTCTTCTATAATATATTGTATATAGATATTTGTTTATTTATTTACACATACATGCAACTTAAAACATGGGAATGGATTCACACAACCCATCAGGTTGATTCATTTGGGGCTGGCATGAAGGCGTCAGCCGCAACATCACCTGCGTGTCTCTCTATATCTATATATACATATACATATATATATATATATATACACATATATATACATATATGTATATATATATATATATATTTATACGGCGTGACATGGTACTATACACATTGACATATACAGGCATATGTGCGCGAAAAAACAGTGGCATAGATGTGAAATGGGCATGTAAACATTTACATATGTATCACTGTATCCCTCTCTCTGTCGTATAAATCCTGGGTTTCCCATTTATTGGGGTAACAGGTGCTTTACTTGCTGGTGCTCAGCAGGGAATCAGATATGGATGGAATGACCCTGAAAAAACTAAAAAAAACTGGTGGCTTTCCTTCATTCGGGAATCTCTGGGGTCATCCCTACATTCCGCACCTATCGCAGCATCAACCCTTCAGTCGTATATATCCTGGGTTCCCATTTTTTGGGGTAACCTTCAGCGGAACCTGGGCCGCGGCATTCAGCACAGGAGCTGGTGCTCTGCATCCTGCGGTGCCTGGGGCGCCTGGCCACTGAGGCGCAGGAGACCGAAGGCCACTTGAAAAGCCTCCATGTCCACTTCCATGATGGGTGGCAAGAGGACGAAACCCATCTTTTTGGATTGTATATACAGAATAAAGAGGAAAACCGTATCTCTTTGGATAAAAAAGGGGAAAAACGAATAGGCAACACCACCTGAACTTTACATGTTATTCTCAGGTATGGTGTGCGTTCTTGCAGGCCACTACTATAACCTTGAACCGCGGCATCTCGGAGCACATCCACTAGAAATGATCACAATTAATATGCTATGTTGGCGGGTGTTCGGCCAGCTTCCTGTAGGATTTCTGTGCAGTGAGGTCTACCAACTCCAAATTCGACCCCCCCCCCCCATATGAATCCCAGGAGGTGCTGGCGCCCCACATGCACCGCGTGGGCCCTGTGCTACTGGACGCCGTCTCCGCTAGCCGGCGGCCTGCTTTTGCGGCGGTGGAGGTGTGGAGCAGCCTGGCGCTGCAGGCTCCTGGCGGTTTTCCGGGGGCACCGGAAAAGGGTTGAAAATGGTTGTTGTTGGGAAACATTTTGCATTTTGCTTTTTGTGGTTTAGTAAAAAATATCCCTTTGGTTTCCCCCGCGCGTCGGCTTCCCTTTCGCACAGTCAGACACATGAGCCACAATCAAAACCCGGGTAGGAGCTTTGTAAGGGATACTCGCAGCCATAAAGAGCTGCCGCCTTCTTAATTCTTTACATGGTTCTGAGTAGGCCATTTTGATATCGGGTTTCGATTATGACTCATGTGTCTGGTTATTTGAAAGGAAAGCCAGGGAGAAACCAAAGGGAAAACCTGGCCATGGCACTCTTTGGCGGCTCTTAGCAGCATGTTTGAATCCCATGTTCATTGATTAATTGGATGTTAACGTAGCCGCAGCCCCCTTATATTGCTTCCCGCTTGAATTCCTTTCAACCATCTTGGCCTGTCATGCTTATTGAACATGTGGTGTCAGGTTTCCACTTTCCGTGTGGTGTCAAGGGAGCCCGTGAATCAAATGATGAGGGACATGCTTGTGGGAATTTGTGTTACTTGGACGTCCACCCCTATTAGGCTCAGTAAGTAAGCAATAAGCATAGCCAGAAGGGAAGCAAGACCCAACCTGTTCATGCAGCAATCTACTGGAAAAAAGGCAGCTAACCTCGGTAACAGGCACAGTTGTGCGGGTGTGTTCCTTGTCCACTTCCGTTTTGGTTTCGTGGGTAGGAGAAGAGAAACTTGATGGCAGCTCAGCTTGGAAATCATAAGTTCCCGATGCCCTAATAGTGTTGTTTAGGCCGGCTTGCAAGCTCTAGCAGTGCAACACACGGAGTGAAAAGCCTTGGGACACCCGCCGGGTGGTTGAACAGAAGCTGGCGGGTTTCATTTAGGCATGTCCTTGTCGCGAAAGCTCGCTAGCATATTCCCACAATCTCGCCCACGCGTTTGCAGCTGGGGCATCTTTCTCCGTAGCACCCGGTCCAAGTTTGGGTCTCAATGTCTTTCAACCCCTAGGTCATACGTGTCGTTGTTGGGGTGGCTGTCCCAAGTTCCGTTTTGCAGGGGTCTGAGTGTGGCCAAGTTTCAAGATGGGTCGGTGCAGGATTTAGCCGCTCAAAGCGCTGATGTCTACCTGGGCGACGGGTTGGTTGCAGAGTTCGCGCCTCAGCTCACCTCCAAATTGCTGGAGCTGCTGCAGCAACTGCCAGAGCATGAGGAAGACAACCTGTTGGAGGACAGGGTGTGGCCAAATTTATGTGATACAACCAGAACACTTGATAGGTTTTACCTTGTAAGCTTAGAGGGGAGATTTCAAACAATTGTGGTGCGAACATGTCTAAACAAGGGGTTGGTCCGGACCAGTGTTGATCTTTCTGGCCAAAGCAAAAGGGACCTCACAACACAGCCTGAAATAATTTGGATTCCTTTTGCAGTAGTTGGATTCCATATTGCGGCTGGTGAAGTATGACAATGTCCTATAGCTTGCGTGAAATCGGCGATTGCATGACTGCCCTAAGTGCCTGTCAACGACCCTTCAATACGGCCTTTTGATAACGGCGATCAAGAAGTAGCAGTTGAAGAGGCGGGCATCCCATTTAGGCATTTACTATTGAGGGAACCTGTACGGGTGGATGAATCCGCGGATCATATTGACAGCTACGCGCCAGATTTGCATAGCAAAACCAACGTGCACGGCCAAGGGCAGCACCCTAGCAGCTATGAAGAACCCATCCTCCCCAACTAGGATCAAGGATCGATCATTTTCCAGATAGCCATCTGTTTGGTTCCCATGTGACTTCCCTTTTAGATCAATATGGAACCCCAAAAATTCCATCGGTTTCAGGAGGAATTCCCCTTGGACTGGCCGGCGCACGCCTGTTGTCACTCTGCAGGCTCTGAAGACCTGTTTGGGCTTGCTGGTGCGGCTGGAGAGCGGCATTTCCGCGTACCTGTCCACGTTTCCTTGCCAGACTTGAGCAACCTCTTGGTTCCTTGCAAACTATTTGAGGTCCAGACTTAAATAGCGCGCTTGGTTGTTGTTTGCTTCTTCTTCTTGTTTTGGGGGGTTCCTTCGTTTTGACTTTCAAGCAGCAACTTACCCTCCCGCCAATTAACATGGAACCTGACGTTTGGGGGTACATGTTCTTCCAGGATCCCCCGAACGTCTTAACGATAATTGGTGGGGGGGTAACCTTTTGCGGGGGCCGTAGTTTGGCCAAGGTTTGCGTCCCAGCATTTGCACCCGATGCCGCCGAAGGGCCATGCATTGCCGCCAGGCTTTGAGCGAGCAATATGTGGGGAGCCGTCGGCTCTTGTAGTCTGTTGTGCTCATCGGGGGCTTGGAATCCCAGTAGGCCAAAGCGAAGCTACCAATTTCGACGTTTGCCTTTTCCAGGTCCGCTACTTCTGTCAAGCAACCTATTGGTTTCCTTTTGAAGGGAACCAGGAGTATGTCGTTTTGAAACCTACTTTGCCCAGCGCTTCCAGGTGGGAATGTGTCAAAATAGGGACCTTTCAAACACCAATCGTTTCTGCTGGTTTCTCTTCAAACCAAGCTGAAACGGACGCCAAGCCACGGATCCAGGTTGGTCCTTGAGGTGCTCTTCTCAGCCCCCATCCGTCACGGCGCCGCGCTCCTCTCGAGCGCCGGGCGCGCTCTGCCCGCAGCGCTCCTCGCCGGAGGCGCGCCGCGGCGCCGCGCCGCGGCCGCGGCCGCGGCGGCGTTTCGCGCGCCCAGCGTGAAGCTGCCGAAACATGGTTGCTGTTGGGAAACATTTTTTGCTTCTTGTGGTTTAGTGGGAAATCCCCACTTAACTGCTAAAACTTAAAGTTTTGCTCCCCTTTCAACGTCAACCAAGGAAGGAGTGCCAGGTGCGGTGGTTCGTCACTCGCCGACTGCCACTGCCCCGACTGCTTTTGAAACAGCACTTGACACAGAAAAAAAGCAGTTGCGAGTGCTGGTGGCAAAGAAGTTTTGACATTTTTAGGCACATCAGGTGTGATTTGAGCTCAACATTAAAATGTGATTCATGTTTGAACCTTTGGCCTTCTCCTGGCCCATAAGCGAGGGCGTCAACCTTTCTGTCCAGGCCTGGCAGGTGAGTCGCGGAACCTTGATTTTGTGGCGGAGCTTCTGCTTGGGGTGGGTAACATTAGCAAAATTATATTCCTCTTGAGGTGACAATGCCCCGGGTGGGCTCTGTGTCTAGGGGTTTCTGAGCGACTTCTTCGCATTTGCGCGCTCCGGATTGCTCCCGCATAGCAATGGATGGTGATCGCTATTTGTGTGTTGGCATGCGGCCTTCTTTGTCTTCAACGCCCATAGCAGACATAGCCACCTATGTTGACATCAGCGAAACGACTGGAAGAGAAGGAAAGCCTTTCTCAGCCTAGGGCCGAGACACAGCGCTTCTATGCATCTTGTTTTTTGGAAGTACCTTCGTTGAGGTGGCGGCATCCTGTGATTGGCCCTTATGTGGAGGAGCACAACGATACGGAAGCCCATTCCAAGAATAAAACAAAGAGTCAAGAGTAATACGGTAGTCATGCACGAACTGGATCAAGCGAACAAGTTGCTATCGAACATTTTGCATCCTTGATGAAGGAAAGGGTCAGTCTTCATACATGCCAGACCTTAGTGGTCGACCTTTGCTGCCCTTGTTGTGACGTCATGTGACGTGCAAGTACGCCAGGGCGAGATTCTTAGCGCCGCCCTGCAGCTGGACAATGACGTTGCCTCGGCACAGCTCTTGCAGGAGGGGTGGGAGTAGATCCTCCGTTTTCTGCTCGGCTTGAGAAATTCGAATAGCCCGTTTGCAATACTATCCCCAATGTACAACCAAACAGATCTTCCCAAGGGGTATTGTCTGTTATTTCCCCTGTCTATTTGCACCCAGGTTGTCGATGGCTGCCGGTTTTTCCATAAGCTGCAAACCTAAACACGTGCGTATCAGTAGCAGTATCATTCGTGGACAAAATGACCAGCGTCCTCGAATGTAGTCAATGCTGTCAATGCATGTGGAATCAAATGGTAGGGGCATATCAAACACCTTAATTTTGTGAAGCAAGCACCTGGTCTTGAGCTGCAACACGACGGTTGTACGTGGGCATCTCCTTGAGAAGCTGGCAATGCTGCCCATCACAAACCAATCATGGCACGTTTTCATTGGCGAGTTGGGAGACAGGGCCCACCATCCTCTTGGAAAAACCTTTGTCCACTTTAGTTGGACAACTGGTACCAACAATCAAGGTTTGGTTACGTGAACATCTGCAGAAAATGGCCCCAAAACACCCAAGATTAGCTGTGGTTTCCTGTTGAATTTCCTGTAGCCCAACCCTTTGAAACAAGTGCTTCAGAGGGGTCAGACCAACCGCTTGAGTGCTACGCAGCTTGAGGAGTTGCTGTGCTCAGCGGCTGCGCCGCCTCAGCCTTTCGCGGCGCTGGCGCAACATCTTTTGGCTCGCGCCGAGGCGTCGGATCCCGCCACCAGGCGCGGGGTTTGGATCCGCCCAGCCACCCATGCACCCACGCACTGGGTTTGGATGCTGGTTTTTTGGGTGGGGCTCACCCGGGTTTGGATGTTCAACCCAGGGCGCCGTGAACTATGAGCATGGTCAGTTACGGGAGCTAACCAAGGTAGAAACGTGGCTGCGACCTACTTAAATGGGTTGACCATTGGGATGGGGGTGGAGCCGTGTCCCTTGGCCGGCGCTTGGGGTGTATCATCAATCATCCCAGTAGAAATGCCCATGCTAGCTTTGCACATCGATCTCAGGCAATAGAGTTTTTCAGACAAGCCCGGAACATTTGTTTGTGTGCAGCGTCTCACGGCTTTGCGTGCAGGTCCATTCGTATTTTTCTTGGTCTACCTTTATGTTGATTTGGCGATGACCCAGGATGACCGTCAACGGTTGCAAAACGGCATCCTTCAATCAAACAGCCATCACTTACTTAGTATTGTGAAGCGAGTGCCTCCAAAGCTGCCGCCGAGCCGGAGAGAAGGCCCCGTTCAGTTCGTGAATGACCGGTGCGAATCCAACTTCTGGAGGGGTGTCTTTGGCAGGGCTCCTGAAAAGATACATTTTGCCCATTTGAAACATGGCTTTTTCCACTAATGTCCACCTCATATTTAGAACCCCCCCCCCCCTCACCCCCCTAAGGTCGTACGGAGGGGGGCCTGCAAGTAGAAGCTTCCGGCGGATCCCGGAGATTCCTTACCTGGCTGTTGGTCAGCGCCTTCGTTCAATACGCCTTTTTGTGGCTGGGTAAATCGCAGGGCCTGGCAGGTTTGGCGCTGAGGAGCTTTTAGACTAGGAGCTGAGCCTTTTTTTTGGATTTCCTGGGCCAAGCCGGATTGTGCAATTACGGGGGGGTTTCTAAATACGTTCTGGGATTTGGATTGTGCAAATACGCGGGGGTTTCCAAATAGGAGGTCAACATTAATATCAAGGGAAACCACCATTTACAAGGCAATTCAGGGCAAAACGGATGTGGTCACCACTGAGGGGGGGGCAGGCCATGACCATTCGCACAGGTTCGCAAATCTGTTGGGGGTTCGACTCAAAGTTCGCAATGCCTGGCCGGGTTCGCAAACCCGAAATGGAATTCGCAAACCTTCGCAAACTGAATTGGGCAATCCAAAGGTTCGCAAACCCAGTCCAGGGTTCGTGCGAGGGCGGCGCCGGCCCGGCGCAGCCCTGGCCAGGTCCTGCCAGAGGCGGCGCCGGCCCGGCGCAGCCCTGGCCAGGTCCTGCCAGAGGCGGCGCCGGCTCGGCGCAGCCCTGGCAGCCTAGCTAAGCCCCCCTGCGTTCGCGCGTGACTTTGACAGTTCGCAATCCCCGCCATGTTCGCAGATGAGAAGCGGGTTCGCAAACGTTCGCTTAGGTACTTTGGGTTCGCGTAGGTTCGCTAAGATTTTTGCCTGCCCCCCCCAACTGGTGACCACATCTGTTTTGCCCTTAGCAATGTTCAGGTGTATAATGCATCCAGATCCCTGTTTGGGGTGCTGTTTGGTTTCCGTGCTAGGTCTGGTCACAACGGTGCCCTTGCCACTTGCACAATTCCCCCCCTTCAGTTCAGGAGGGCGCTACTGCACGCGGTGGCTTCCTTAATTGAAGGGGCGAGCGTGGAGTGCCGCCCGCTCTTCCGGCCGCTGCTGCTTCGCTTTCTGAGTCTTGAGGCTTGGCAGTTCAGGGGAAGGGTCCTTGCCCATGTCAGGTGAGTAGCTTTTATCGGTAAGGAGCTGAGCGAGAGGGAAAAAAAGCACGCCTGAGTAGACGGATCGTTATGAGGAACTGGCCCCTGTTTCACCTGGTAAGTGGCTTATGACCGTTGTAACTTGCAGCCTACTACACACAAATTCGGCAAAATGTCCCTAAAAAGAAGAGACATCTGCCAATGATGAAAAAGGGTTCCCTCAAAACAAAAAAATGGTTTATTCATTAAATGAACAACTAAAGGAAAAAAACTGTCTCTTGATTGAACAGCCAAGCGCCCTGCAGAAAGGGCCGTCCAAAGGAGCTGGGGGGGGGTCAGACGGTCAGACCTGTTGGGAGGCCTGGTCCCAGGTGTCCATGGCCCTGCCCATTCTCTGAAAGGGAAAGGCCGCTTTGTCACGTCCATGGCTGAAAGCCAGGGGAGCCAACCGAAAAGTGGGGGCGCACAAGCCCGTTGAGTAGGACAGTCATGAGACTTAGAGAGAGAGGGAGAGAGAGAGAGAGAGAAAAAAACAATAAAAATAAGAAGTACGATTTCTAGCTTGGTGAGGTTGCTAGGGGTGCTTTTTCACTAAGCACGGCCCTCAGAGAATGCGGTACAAAAAAAGAAGAAGAGGCAAACCTGTTCAAGGTTTGAGCGCAGTGTTTCTGTTTGCCTGATGTCCGCGCCCAAAAAACTCCGAGGAGAGCTATGGGGATGTCTGGTGCTGCCTGGGGGCCCTGACCCATCGCCTGGGCGAAGAGGTCAGGGACTTCGCGGAGCAGCTGATGTCCGCGTACTGCGCCCAGCTGGCGCCTGGGAAAACACCGACCACGTCGACCCTTTTCCAGCAGTTGTTGAAATGGTTGTACACCAAGGCTGGCAAAAACGCAGGGGTTGCCCTTTTAAGGAAGTCAATCACCCCGGATTTTGGTCTACCTTTGAGTAATCCAAGGTGGAGTTTCCGTAAAAACGGGCCTGGAAAACGGACCATCCCCACTGGGCTGGTACTGGTCGTGGTTTATGCTTGTCGGGTGTGCCTCTAAGTGTTGGACAAACCGTACTTGAGGGGGAGGGAGGAAGGCGCAAACAAGTAGAGACTTGCCCATACGTTGGGAATCAAGAAGAGGAGGCCTCGATCCCACGTTCCACAAAACTTTTCTTGGCTGGGGCGCCAAACAGGACTTTTCAGAATGCTGGTCCCCTAAAATGGCTGTTGGTTGGGGCTTCCACCACCGAGGGTGGTCATTTTCAGGCGGACCCCACGGGCATTGACGAGGACGCCTTCCACGCAGCGGGTGCCCTAATCACCGCCCTGGCGCCATCTCACGCGGCTCAGCTGGCGCCGCTGTGGGAGGTGCTGGCGCGGGCGCTCGCGGCGCATGACCAGCCGCAGGTGCGACCCAAAGGAAACATCATGGTTGTTGTTGGGAAACATTGTACATTTTTGCTTATTGTGGTTTAGTGGGAATTCCAAATTAACTGCTAAAAAATACTTTTTTGCTCCCCTTCCAACGTCAACCAAGAGGTATACGGTTTGGGCAAGTGACTGATGGGAGGGTAACCGAAGAGTGGAAGAAAAGCCCGGGACTGTGGGGTTGCCCGTGATTGCTTCGCAGGCCTCAAAGGCCGCGATGCGAGTCCTGCTGGCGGTCATGAGCCACCTGGACGTGGCTGCCCTCACGTGCCTGGCGCACTGCGTGGCTTGACTCACAGAACTGGAGCCCTGGGACCCGGGACTGAACCACACCACTCCAGATACATTCAGACGCGATTCCTTGGTGGTCAATGTTTGCTTTTTCTCAAGGGCCTCCGGGAGTTAATACCATCGAACGTCTAAGCAGTCACAAAACGGTGGCTTCTTTTGGATACTGTACAGGGCCCGTTTCCACGTGGAAAGGTTTGGTCTTCCAATATGGGTCTGTGTACTATGCCATGGTGATAGGGTCACCTGCAAAACTTGTCCGCTGGCCAAGGTGGTGCGACCCCTCCTCCAGCACGCCAGCGGGAACGATTTGTGCAGATCGGCTGCACATGTCAAAGTCGGATTGTTTTGGAGGACATCAATAATTTGGATGAAATCGTTTTTTCCCCAAGACCTCTTTCACTTAGCACCCCGTGGAAATCAACGTCACTTTGGGACGGACGTAGAATGTAAGCCTTTTGGAGGGTTCGCCGGCACTTTGGATCTGGATCCGACACGCACATGGCACGTTTTTGGCGGTTGGTGGAGACAATTCATATTCTGAGGGGCGTTGTTGTTGTTGTTTTTTCCATAGGGGGGGGGGGGGGGGGCTGACCAAACGAAACCACGGGCGATTCTTTTAGGCCTCTTTTGTACTGGCTGGGGTTGGGGCAAGTTTGCAATCTAGGCTCCATTTGATGAAGAATATGTCTTATTGTTTTATTTTCCACTGATAAAGGGAGTTTAATTTCACTATTGGACTATTTTTTTTTTCCAGGGGACCTAAACGCAAAAGGAGGAACCGCGAGTTCGAATTTGCTAGCTGAGGTTCGGAGCTGCAGCCGTTGGCGGTCAGCTGCCTGGGCGGCGACTTGGCGCCGATGTGTGTTTTTGTTGTTTTAAAACAATAGGCTACAGAAAAAAGTTGGTTGGTTCCCTTTTGTTATACCTTTTTACTGGAAAACCTAGGAAAGGATGAGGGTTGGAAGCCAGATTAGTTGCCCTGACTCCCATGTACTCCCACTATGGCACCTGATACGGGTGCCTTGAAGAGGAAACCATGTTGCAGGTACCCTGCCACAGTTGGACAGGGGTGTCTGTGTCCAGTTTGTTCCCCTTTTCCTTACCCGCCTCATCCACTCCCTGGCTCACGTTCTGGGGAGTTTTCATTATTTTTGGCATGTCCCATGGTTTTCCTTGACCTCTTAATGATAATGTTTTTTTGGCCAATCCACCCATGAGGTGAGACAGGCGGGTAAAGGGAAACTCACGTGTAGCCAACCATGGTTGTTGTTGGGAAACATTTCACATTCGTGCTTATTGCGGTTTAGTGGGGAATCCCCACTTAGTGTCTAAAAACATATTTTCGTTGCTCCCCTTCCAACGTCAACCAAGCAACAGGCCTGGTCCGAGCCGACTCCGCGGCGAGCTTCCGAGGCTTCCTTGTGCTGGGCTGCCGCATGCCGCTGCTGGACGCGGCGCTGGAGGTCTTCGCCGCAGTGGCCAGGCGGGCCGAGGGCCGAGCGGTTCCCGTCGGGGGACGGGTGGGGGAGGCGGGGTGGGGTCTGGGATTTTTCTTTGAAACTCGATTGTGCATGTTGAGGTGCACTAAAAAAGGACCGGAACCTAGCATATTTAATTCCATCATGTTTGGTTTGTGCGCAAAGCTGAGGTGGGATGTTGGGGGCAAAGAAGGGGCCAGGCTCGTGTCCGAACAGTTGTTTGAGAGAGCCAGCAACGACAGCCCTGTTGCTTGGCCTTGTCTTTGCTACTTTGCTTGGCTGATTTGGTCTAATTTCTCAGGTTTCCAAAGGCCAACTGATCACACCTTAGTTAGCGAAACCTGCCGCCAGAATTGCATATTGGGTGTATGAATGCAACGGTTTATGGCTCAAAACCGGGTTACCCAAGACTTGGGGAGTAGTCTAGGACGGGCGTGGTTGCCACATCGTTCACCTCCTGGAACCCCCTTGTTAAAGGCGGTTTTCCAAAACGTGTCCCTTCGGGTACGGGTTGATTTCGTGTATGGAGGCCAAAGCGCGTGGAGTTTTCAGGGCTTATTCCCATCAGGATTGAGTGATCCAGGTCCTGCGGAGAGGCGGCTTCGCCTGCAAGCTGCCTGCAGCGGATGAAGGAGCAGGGGCAGTCTGTCGGCAGCACGCGGGGTGAATGAGATCTTCTTGGCGGGTTTTGACACACCAGCCCCCAATATTCATGAAGCTCTAGAGGGAAGCTGATTGCGAAGCCGTGAGGATTCGCAGCTGCTGCAGCTGGAGTTGAGCACTGTGCTGCTGAAAGGCTATGTCTCGCTGTTCCGGTGCTTGCACAAGACAGGCGGGCCCATGGCGCTGCACGCGGGGCGCAAGGGGTGTGCGAGCTCACCCGGGCTCAGCACGAGCTTAATCAATGTAGGGGTGTTCCTTATTGCCAGTTTGGGAAGTATAGTCATTTGTTCGGGTCCAGTGGGTTGTTGGAAACGCGGTAGGCTGTGTGCCACAGAACACGGAAGAACCGTGAAATGGATGGCATTTGTTTTGTTTGGCCAGTAGAAAGTATTCTTCTTTCCCGGGGCTTTCTGCTTTTCAGTCGACACCCAGTGACCGAGGGATGAGACATTCCACTCAAGATGCAAAGACGTAACCCTGGCAAGCAGCAGGTTTTGGATCATGCGGGGACGATTGACACGAAACAAATGGCCGACTCATATCCATTAGTATTGCATTAGCCCTTCAACCAGGGACATGTTGTGGTGCGCTCTATGTTTGTCAAGATGCATTTGTGACCGAGACAGACCCTGGTTTCGCAATGAGGCAAAGGCACCTGGTCTCCCAACCTCCCCCCCCCCCCCCCGGCCAACATGCGTTTATTCCCCCCCCCCCCCGCCCCCGCGCTTTTTACCTTTGGCTTGCATGCTCCCGTGCAACCACGCCGGGTCGAGTAAAAAACGCCAACGCGACCCAGGCTCTGTGGCGGCCGTTGAGGTGCACCTGCCGGGCGTTGTCTGGTTTTTGGCGCCTGGGATTGGGTGTGCCCGCTTGGAACCCGCTCTTTTCCGCCCCAAAAGACCTTCACAAGAGGATGCTTCAACAGAGCTGGTGAATCTGATTTCCCAATTCAACAGGGTACCGTTTCAAAGGTTATCAGAACCCTTCAATCAGAGCCCAGGGTTCCTTCCGAACCGCCACGAGGGGTGCGGCTGAACGTGGACTTTTGGTCAGCGTCATCAGGCTTACCCTGTCAGACCACCGTAGTGGACAACACACCTGGGCCTCCGGGACATATAGGTCCCCTTGTTCAAGAGGATCCAACACTGGTTCTATGCGGCTTCCAGCTTGCACCCAAGGCCAATCGTGTGTTACACTCCCGTGTTTGGGGTCAGCCTATTAATGCGACATACGGTACCTATTTTAGGGTAACCTCCTCAAAACTCGACCGAGGCTTGCCAGGTGCGCGGCACTAGCTCAAACCGCCGGCCGACGAGCGGGAAGCGCTTGGTGGAGATTGCGGAAGTCCTGGCGGCGATTGCTGCGGTGCATTTGGACGCCTTGGACGCCTTTGCTGGCACGGCAGGTGGGGGCCTCAGACTCCTGTGACTCGCCACTTCGACGGTTCTGGGGTTTGGCTCACGATTCACAAGCGTTGGCGGGAACGACATGTAGGAAGGAGACTTGTCCAGAACAGGGCACTTCTGGCAAACGGTGTCATGTTTTGGTCGTCCATCCCTTCTCAGGTTTAAAAATAGAGGAACCGTGGTTGTGGAGTTTGACAATTTCGGGGGGTACACTAAACAGTGTCCAATGTAGAAATGGGGATGGGCCACTTGCGAGCCACGAGAGTGTGAACCCCAGGAAAGCTGGAACTTGGTTCATTGGCTTTCTTGCGGAACAACCCCAAGGGTACCACCCACAAACCAACCCCATACAGTTAATGAATATGCGCATCCCGAAATACGGAATCCCAAAGAAGGTTGGTTTCCTGCGTCACCACCATGGTTGCAAGTCAAATGGGTTCGGCATATGATAATGGTTCCTGGGGATGATCATCAACTCCGAAGTAGTGGTTGAAGAGAACGATGATGGCCCAGAGTCAGGCCATGGCACGATTTATTGTTGGGGAGTTCTGAATTCCCCATATGAAGGCAAGATGGGAGAACCCAAAAGTACGCAACCCTGCACATCAAACTAACGAGCAAGAAAGCAAGAGGCACAAGGCACAGTTGTTGGTGTTGTTGTTGGTGTTGTTGGTGGGTGGGGTGGGTGGAGTGGGTGGGGTGGGTGGAGTGGGTGGGGTGGGTGGGGTGGGTGGGTGGGGTGGCTGGGGTGGGTGGGGGGGTGGGTGGGTGGGGGGGTCGGGGGGTGGGGGGGTTGGTGGTTGGTTGTTGTTGGTTGTTGGTTTGTGGTTGTTGGTTGGTGGTTGTTTGTTGTGTTTTGAACGTTGTGGGTTGTGTGTTTTGTGTTGTGTGTTGTTGGTTGTTTCTTGTGTCTTGTTTGTTTGGTGTTTGTTGTTTGGTGTTTCTTGTTTCGTGTTTGTTGTTTGTTTGGTGCTTGTTGTTTGTTGTTTGTTGATGATGCTGATGCTGATGCTGATGCTGACGCTGCTGATGATGATGATGATGATGATGATGATGATGATGATGATGATGATGATGATGATGATGATGATGATGCTGATGCTGATGCTGATGCTGATGCTGATGATGATGCTGATGCTGATGCTGATGCTGATGATGATGATGTTAGTCAGGGGTCAACATGAAAAGAGGAACACACCAAAGCGAAATCGAAGCAACTCACCAGCAACATATCGAATCTCCGAGGTGACAGGGGCCTGTCGGAGCTGCACGGGATCATTGCCGCATCGGAGCCTGGCATCCGATGGCTGGCAGAAGCACCAGCGCTCGCTGCGCGAGCTGTGCTCACTCCCTGAGTTCCTGGGCTTTTTTTCCTTTCCGGGACCATTTTGGTGGCAACAAAGCTTGGACTTGCCACTCAAGCTTGTGAAAGATACTCGGTTATCTGAAGCCGACCTGTTAATCTTTGTGTTTCTCTTGGCCCATTCGAACCTTTCACATTTGGGGTTGCCAAAGCGAAAACCTCATGCCTTGCCAAGATCCCAAAGGCTGAACCTTTTTGATTTCTACTTCCTTTTCTAGGTGAGACTTTTTGCAGTGCTTTTGCCTTTTCGTATTTAGTGGCATTTCCGGCGTATGTTCTTGTCTAGTGAGTCTAATGAGTCCCATGTGTGCCTTGTGAATGGTTTTATTTGTTTTGGCACAGTCCTCACTGGCTTGAGCAGTGGCATGAGCACCTGTTCTTTTGTCAAATGTCATATTATTTTTTTGCAGTCCCAGCACCGCTAATAATTCCCAGAGGTTCCTTTGAGAAGTTGACTGCGACCTCCGCATACGTGTGCCGGCACGCCCGGGGAAGATCTGCTTGAGACCGCGGCCTGGCGCAACCGTTCCACCGGGCGGCTGAGCGCTTTGTTTGGACGCGGACGTGCGGAGAAGGACTGGGCTGGTTATACTCGGCTTGGCTGGACAAACATATTGCTGGGTGTCACAGCCCCCGCAAAACAAGGGAAAGCACACCGACCCATAGTGACCCAGCTTGATTCTTAGTGCGCATTTGCCAAAATTGACCTTTTGACATGCGTTGGCCCTCTTCCGCCCAGTTATGGCCCATTTTTGCTGTACGTTCCCCAAGGGGTTGTTGTTTTCACTGGAGTTTTCTGGGGCAAGCGAGATTTTGGGAGCGGAATGTTCGCCGCGCGGGAAGGACTGAAGTGAGGCGCCTTCATGGACCGCCTTGGAGGAGATACGAGGAGATATCGCGGAGCTTTAGGTTGACATCTTCCCCCGGAGTGGGTACTTGGTGGTTCCCAGCGAATCGTCCGGCTGCTTAGGTTTTCAGATTTTGAGGGGTTAGCGTTTGGGTTTCCATTCAACCCACTAGAAGTTATTCAATTTTAGCAGGGGATCTGAGGACAGCCCACTGCGTTTGTTCAGAAAGCATCTTAGGTTGTAATTTTCGGCAAAACGGGGATTTTGCGCTAGCGCAAAGAGTGCAACTTACTTACTGTGTGGCTGGAATACCTACCCGTTTTGCGCAAACCCTAATACCTTCCCAGATAACTTGGTTTAGACTGCTGACGTGAGTGTGTGTGTGTGCTTAACTAATTAGGGGACCCTGGGGTGTTTTGCCCCTGACGCCAAACCGCAGCTGGGGGTCTGGCACCTCACTTGGGAGGACTTGCTTGCTGGTCAAGTCTCCAGAGCAGAGACGTGTGAGCTTGAGAGAGGCAGCGTTTGGATGGCCGCGGAAAGTGGCAAATGACACATCCATCCAAAAAAGGAGCACCGTGCGCTTCTTTGTATTAAAATAAACAAGTACACTTCTCGCTACCCAACTGCCTGGACTTGTTACAGGCGGCCGCTTCTTTGTCGGCATCCGCCGGCCATTTCCGAGTGCAGCAGAAAGTGTGTGTCTGCGTCGGCGAATGCATGCGGATGTTTGCAGGTCTGATTGCGGCGCGAAAGGCTAGACAAGCTCGTTCGCCACGCGCGCAATCAAAAGCACCGTGGCTGGTGGGTGGGTGCGTACCCGGACTCGGAGCAGAATTGGTAGTTTCAGAAAAAATTGCAAGGGGCGAAGCAATGACACACCTGATTATCCCATGTTCATGAGTTAGTTGTGAAACAGGCATCTATACGGGTTGCCAAAGTCAGAAACACGTGTTTTTCTCTTGAGCCTGCTTCCAGGATGACTTAGACATGTTGCAATTCCAAATCTAGGGACCTCCTTGCGGGGTTCATTCCAAAACAAAACCAAAGTGGCACACCAGGTTAGTCAGCTCCTGCTAGGGAGCCAGCCTTTCACTTCGTTAGCGATGGTTATCAACCTGTCACTCACTCCCAGAGTTTCTGAACACTTTTTCGGGTCATTTTGTGGCAAACAATCTCTCTGGACTGTTTTGGCCAACCCACTCAGGAAGTGAGCAGGCTCAGGGGGCTTGGACCTGCAGTACAAGTGCTCTTTGTTGGAGAATGCCACGACCAGGGCCGAAAGGATCGCGTTTGACCAGAATCCACAGCAGCCCTTCCCCCGGCAGCAGAGGGTCGCAACCTTCCCCGATTGAAGCCCGCGAGCGCAAAGCACAGGTTCGTGATGAATGGGGGCCTCATCGTGGGCACCATGGACGGCGCCAACATTGAAATTCGCGAGGAGTGCGGCCGCCTGGCCGCAGGCAGATGGCTGTGGCTCAAAATTAAACAGGAGGGGTTACGCGGGTTTTGGTCCATGTTTCCACTTACCAAGGTTCCATTTTGGTACCGGTTTTTTGAGCCACTGCCAGATATTTGAACTAGGAGGCGCTGATTCTTCTCAAAATGGGCCCTACGGTGAGCTGTTTCTTTGCATTTTGCCAAAGGATGTTAGGTCGACTTGAAAACTTTTTGCCAACTACTGGGTTTTCCCACTAAACCACTAAAAGTTAAACTTTCAGCAGGGGAGCAGAAAGCAACCGAGTATTCTGTTTGGTTTCCTCGAACCATCACAGAAAGGGGACCCCGATTTCGAGAGACGTTGTTAGTATGTTCCCGACACGGGACAGCCAAGTTGCTCAGTGGATCCAGTTTCTCCTTTCAAAAATGGTCAACCCCAGAAAGGGGCGCTGTTTCTGCCGGGGTCGCTGAGCAAGGGACACGTGTTGACCTGTTTGTTTTTCCATGAACCTTGGCCCCAAGCACCTAACCATTGATTTCCCGGCCCTGGGCAAGTTGTTGGGGAGGCTTCCAAAGGGAACCAACATTAATAGCATAATGTCACGCTTTTTCAGGAGCCAATCAAAACCATGAAAAATTAATCTAAAGTGGTATCCCCAACAGGCCGGAATGTTTTGGAAACCCTATGATTTCCGACATGCATACCCACGTGGCATTTTGCTGCGACTGGATGACACGTGGGGGATTCACAAAGATGGCCTCTCTTTGGATCCTGATGCCACCTTGTGCGCCTTTGAAAGGGGATATGGACGCAACACAGGAGCCCCCAAATTCTGACCACCCGCCAAATGGTGTTTGAGGAATCTTTCGGACGCCTCGCGACGTGTAGCCCGTGCTCGAATCTTGAAACTCACCCTTTGCCGCCTCGGAAGGCATCCGGATGGACGTTTGCATGCGACCACATCAGTTGCTTTGTGTTCGTCTTGCGGGTCTTGCGTCGCCCTTCCGCATGCAGTTGCACCCTTTCTGGGAATCACCAGTCGGAAGCAAAAGAACCGAGAGAGACCGCGGACAAGCTATGTTGGCTTCCCTTTTTGGAAAAGCAGACGTCTCCCTGTGGGACCTTTAAGTGAGTGTCGTTTTGACGTGATGTTCCGAGACGGCTATGAGCTTTAATGGGAAACAGCCTCATGGATGCGTTGGTGCATTTTGCTTGGATGTTAGGACTTTCACTTTTTGCCACCTATTGGGTTTTCCATCAAACCACTAAAAGTTAAACTTTTAGCAGGGGAGCAGAAAGCAACCGAGGATGGACAGCAATCCAAGGTATTCCTGGTACCTACCAAGGGGTCCCAATGCTAGGGTACCGGTTGTCGGGCGCCTATTTGGTTGCACATCGGTGTTCGGTACTCTTTTACCGGTTTCCGTTGGTCGTATTCATATTAGGCATTTATTTTGTTTTGAGGGTTGGGGGTGCCCTTTTCATCTCTGGCCTAGGGAATCCAATCCGACCCCGCCCCCCCATTTTGTGTGTTGCCTGAATAAGCGAATAAGCCTAATGTGAGCTGTGAGGCGAGGACACGATGTTCATCTTCGGGTGCCTGGAGCACGAGGTCGGGCGCATTGCCGCACAAGCCCAGCAGGGCAACTACCCCATCGACGACCGCCTGCAGGCGAATGACCCGGGGGGGTCGTGAGAGGTTCGTTCCAGCGAGGGATTTCCGGGAGGTTCCGGAGCGAATGGAGGAAGCTCCTTCGGGTTTTTCGGGGGGTGTTTGGTTTGGAAGGTTTAAACGGAACTGAGAAACAAGAGTGTCCTTGTTTCCAATGTGGAAGCGAGATGTCATTCAACGTGATGAGCTGACGTTGTTGCATTTGCTTGAGCAGTTGGCCACATCACTAACCATGAGTCATGTCTTTCGAAGCCTCATGTCTAGGCTGTATAATCCGTTCAACTGGACCATCGTGTTAGAACCAAAAGCCTGGGCCGCGGGCTGTGGCCGCACCACCGCACACCGGCGCATCGGCACCACTTCGGGCAGGCCGTGTTCCAGGCCATTCGCAGCGGCACCTTTTCTCAGGCGCTCGGGTCGGATCGTCGATTCTGCCTGGGCGTTTGGAGAAAGCCGGGGGAGCCATTGGACTGGTTGGGGTGTTCAAACCACAGGGTTTAACCTTGGTTGCAACGAAGAGGGCCAGCCCACCCCAGTTACGACTGGGTAGCTTACTTCGCTAAAGGTTCCTCCAGAGTCTGCCCCGGCGGGTACCCATGCAAGGTACCAGCCGTGTTGGCACCTAGGGTCATTAAAAGTGGATTCTATTTTCGGGGATCTGCTGTTTGGGTGTCCTGTTGAATTTTTAGAGGGTGCCCTGCACTGAAATCAAGACTTGTGCGATGGGGAAGGAGACGTGCCAGGAACCGATTTGACCTTTGAAGGATCATTGAATTCATCCTTGAATTGATCTGGAGGATTCATGCCCCCAAAAGCCTGAGGTGGAGCACCAAACGTTTCAATTGTGAAGGCTGTTGAAAGCATGCTCGACCAGCCTCCTGCTCCTACCCAAGCTTGGAGACATCTCTTGTTTCGGGGGTAGAAGCTGGGATAGAATTTCCCGTTGGATAGTGTGGATGGACGAAATCCTGCACCACCTCAGACGTCATGAAAAGCTATTGTTTGTTTGCATTTGCAGGGGAATCGTCATTTCAGGGTTTCGCAGGTGGTGCAGGATTTCGTCCATCCACAGTAATAGCATGTTAACCAGCCACCAACCAAGCACTGGGTTTGGACAAACCTGAGGCACTGGTTGTTGTAACATGAAGTATACCCACCCCGTTGACCGTGAAATTGGAATAGATCCGGGTATACCCCCTAGAAATCCATTTGGCTTTTCTCCTTGTGTTGGGTAGGCTCGCACAGTTGTCTGAAGAAGTGTGTCACTTTTTCCCCGACCCTTACCCTAAAGGTAGGCGGGTTGTTTTTCCCACCCGTTGGCTGAATAATCCCGTCGTAGGGTGAGCCGGATGCGCAAGAAGAGTTCAACTCCATCATCAACCGCCTTTGCAACATCCATGCTGCAGGACGCGGGGACATGGTTGCAGAAAAAAATGCTTGGTTGGGTTCACTCCGAAGAATTGGCACCCCTCTCAAAGGTATAAACTGGTATCACATGTGTGGCATTCCACATGGGAGGGTCAGGGGCCCTGAACAGGCTCCAATGAACGGGTTCCAGCCACCAAAATGGCAAGGCGTGTAGCATCCGATTTCGGAACCCATGCGTTTGAACCCGTACGGGTCAGGGAAGATCAGGGAAACCTTCTACCCGGACCTGTGGGTTGCTTCGTTGCTCCTTTTGTTTTGTCTGGAGCCCAGGTGCACTAGAGGTTTGGGCATCTGACCGTCCATAGTCCACTAAGATAGCGCCTCCTTTTAACCAACCCCAAAAGGGGGAGCATCAAGAAATGACACGGCCATATTTGCTGGTGCTTGTTCTGGCACAGTGGTACAAGCAAGTCAGATAGACTTGACCTTTGCATCTATAGCTGTAAACCCCATGTTGTTTTCTTACTGAAGAGTCTTGCCGACAACCAGTTGACCGGCGCTTGTCACTTGGTGGGCAGGAACCTGGGACGGTGACAAGCAACTCAGCTCTGACACATAGGGCTGCGCCGTGTTTGTCCAGTGTAAACTTTAGTGTAAGCTATACGCACTGGACCCTGTCGCTAACCAAACGGTTCCGGGCTATATGCAATGGTCCTTGCCACACGGGTCCCTTGTCAGCCATCTAAAGCATCACTGGTTGGACGGAAGCTGAGTGTGCTTCTGGGGCCTGCGCCAATGCTTTTTTTTGAGCGTTGTGTCACGGGCAGCCAAGCCCCTCGTGTCATTTCCTTTCTTAAGTTGGTGCTCGCGTAAATGTCAGAAACTCTCTGTTCCTCAGGCAGGTACCTCCCGGTGACAATGCTTCACTGAGGTATTTGGTCATCCACGACTTCCCTTCCTTCGTGGATGCGCAGGCTCGATCACTGTCGCATGTCGCCAGATCTGGACCGCTTTTGTCGGATTCCCTCTTCTCTGGGGATTTACGGTCGAATCGCAGAAGGCGGTGGCCTTTATTTTGCAGTGGAGGCGTTCCAGTTGTGAATGGCCAGCTTCCAGTGGCAAGGCTTTGGGATCTCTGTGGTGGGACATGGCTTGCTGTGCCTCTGTACTCTGTAGGTACAAGTTCACCGCCAGGTTTGTTGGGGCCGCTGTTTTGGGGTTTGGCGTTGCTTTCTCACTGTAAAACATGCAGAGGCCCTTTGGGCAGAGGTTTGGAGATGGAGATGTTGCCAGAGGCAACGTTGTGCAAATAGCTTGGCTTCCCCGGAAAATTGCGCAACAGGTTTCCCCTTTTGTATATAACCACCAAACAAGGGGTACCAATTCGGGTGGAAACCCCTTGCAGAGAGCAGCCGTGGGAAGCCCTTCCAAGCCATGGACTGTGGGAACAACTCGGCTAGGGAGGGTCCCTGTGCTTCAACCCCAGGTTAATGTGGAAACTCCTTTTGGGTTCAGGAGAGACCCTCCTGGACTCCTGCAAGGGGTTCCATAGAAGTCGTATTTCCCCCCTGGATTTCAATCGGAGCTGCGCACTGCACTTGTTGGTTTTTCCCTTCTCCCCAGACGACATACTGGCAAGTGAAGGATTGCAGCCAGCTGCTCCACGTGTTTTTCGCTACTCGCCAGGCGAAGGTGGACGCAACCTACAAGGACAAGGCCATGGTCTGAAGCGAAAGTGCCGCGGGTGTCGCCTTTGGCTACGCTAATGTCCTTGGTGAGTTTTCTTGGGTGATCTAAGTGGCAACGCAAGGGGCAGACAAGGTTTAGAGGAAAGAGGAAATTTCAGGCGCACGTCCGCAATTCAGGAAGTCCCCCGATGTCAGATGACGATAAACTGTTCTTCGAGGTCACAAAAGCTTGGGACACCTGGTCAGACAAGTGTAAACTGATTGGGTACTCTTTTCCGTAGCATTTGTTTTGACGAGAACCAACAAAAACAAACAATTGGGGGCCACCCCATTTTGGCACATATCCATAGTATATATTTTCCTTCTGGCCCAAGCTCGGTGGAGTTTTGCCTGGGGTTGAAGGGGGTCACACGGCTGGGACTTCGAATCGGGAATACCCTCGCACGAAACGATTCCAATTTCAGTTGCCCATGCAAGGAAGCCTATAGGATTTATGAGGGAAAGTTCCTACCCTCCCACCGACAGGCAACCTGAGGCCATGTCCCTTATCTTCTTTCAGACTTTCATGCCTGCTTTTTGGCAGTGTACCTCATTATTTTGAGTTTGAAGCCTACTTCCATGATCAACCCGACAAAAGCGCTTATTATGACTCTTGTGGCCATTGTTGTACGTGGGGTTTACTACGCGGTATGTTTGTTGTTTTGTTCCCAGTTGCCCAGTGGCGCCCTTTTTCTTTTTGTTGGGAAGGGCTCCGCTTCAAACTCAGCCAACCAAAAACAGATGCCCTTTTTTGTCCGTGGCCACTGGGCATTTGATATATACATAAACATATATATATATATACATGTGTGTGTTTGGGGTTGGTTTCTTGATCCGTAGGTCCATCAACCTGCCCCACCCGGGTTGCCCATACAGAGCCTGAGGCCACCTGGTGCAAGCTCAGCATTCAGGCGGCAGCCTGCATGGCGCCGCCCGGCTTTGCGACGACTTGGCTTTTCCTTGGCTGACCCATGGTGGTTGGCTGGTTGGTTGGTTGGTTGGTTGGTTGGTTGGTTGGTTGGTTGGTTGGTTGGTTGGCTGGCTGGCTGGCTGGCTGGCTGGCTGGCTGGCTGGCTGGCTGGTTGGTTGGTTGGTTGGTTGGTTGGTTGGTGTGTGGGTGGGTGGGTGGGTGGGTTGGTTGGTGTGTGGGTGGATGGGTGGGTGGGTTGGTTGGTGGGTGGGTGGGTGGGTGGGTGGGTGGGTTGGTTGGTTGGTTGGTGGTTGGTTGGTTGGCTGGCTGGCTGGCTGGCTGGCTGGCTTTCTGGCTGCCTGCTTGCTTGCTTGCTTGCTTGCTTGCTTGCTTGCTTGGTTTGGTTTGGTTTGGTTTGGTTTGGTTGGTTTGGTTGTGGTTCGTTGTTGCAAGACAGGACAATTCGCCAGAACACCACATCTTCACGTCTGTGGCAGCCTAGTCCGCGATCTGACGTGAAAGACAGGCATTTGTTTAGGCAGCCAGTGGCTACGGGCAACATGGCTTGGTGCTTGGGCTTGGTCGCTTGGTCTTGCTTGCTTGCTTGCTTGCTTGCTTGCTTGCTTGCTTGCTTGCTTGCTTGCTTGCTTGCTTGCTTGCTTGCTTGCTTGCTTGCTTGCTTGCTTGCTTGCTTGCTTGCTTGCTTGCTTGGCTGTTTAGTTGGTTGGTTGATGTATGTTGGTGTGTTTGTGGCACTTGGTTGCTACGGCGGCGTTTGTCTCTCGTTGGCCAGGGCACGGCCCAAAGGGAAGCCAGCTAAAACACAGCTCTGCTCGTAAAATGGTGGCTGCAAAGCTGAGGGGAATCAGTCAACCTCTGGGAATTTGGGGACGTCCCCTCTCATTCTTGTGTAGAGTGACGGACAATATCAGGGTATCAGATTTGGGGACGTCCCCTCTCATGTTTTGTGGTGGTATAGCCGGCTATGCAAATGCGGTGTCCAACCCAACCTCTCGTTGTGAGGAAATTCTCCACCGACCGCACCATCAGCGAGTATGCTGAGGCGCGGGCGGGGGGCGGGGGGGGGGGGGGCCTGTGGTGGGCCACTGTGCCCGCGGCATCGGTGTGCAACGGATTGACCCCGTGACGGTTCCTTTCAAGGGCGCTGTCTTGTTCGTTCTGCACAATGTTCATTCCTGGCAAACGCAAAGGCTGTCCGCTTCAGGGTCCGGCTACTCCAACTTGTGGGGATTGGAAGAGTCCCTGGATTTGGATAGGCTTGGTCCGACAGCCCCAATAGACCCAGCAGAACGGGGATCAGGGGTGGCGCTGGGCTGGGCTGGGGTGGGGTGGGGTAGGGTAGGGTGGGGGAGGGGTTCCCTGAAACACTGCACAACCCAACAAGGGCTTCCTGCGTAAGAACCGCTGGGCTACAAGGAACAGTAACCACCCGATATATACATATATATATGTATATATATATGTATATATTATGC